AAAGTAGAAAATTTTTATTTTTGGAATTTTCTTGCCAAAGTATAAATAAATTACTTTACTCATACATATACATATATTTCTATATATATAAATCCATAATATGTACAGAATACATATATCTTTATACACACATGTGTCAGAATTTTTATTTTAGGTAGTTCATTTTATTCAAAATTAATTTTTTCTTGTAATAGAGAATTTTTTTTGTACTCGTATTATACAGAAAAATTTAATACCTTTTGAAAACAAAAACTTTTTCCTTAATTTTGTTAATTATTAAAACATTTTCTAACCCTTCCCTTCCACATCCAAATTACAGTAATAACGTATGATTCAACATAATTCAGCAATTACAATTCATAAGCTGAATTGTAAATTAAATACCGTAATTATTGAAATTTTCAATAATTTAATTTTTTAATATTTTTACTTATAGACAGATTTTTTTAATTGTAAAATTTACACAATTATTTTCATTCCTACTTCTTCAAAAAAAAAATATTTTTTCTTAACATTTTCTATTCTCATTTGAATTACTCATTTTAGTAAAATTAATGCCGTCAACGCCTTCACCGCCTCCCCACAGAATGAACCACAATATTACCTTCCCTGTGTGATCTAAGATTAAAATTTCAATAATACGACATTTAACACAAGTTCAGCTTATGATTTTCTAATTTATTTTAATTGCTGAATTATGAAGATTAATGCAATATTACTAAATTCTGAATATTCAGAAACAATATTCATCATTAGAAAATATTCTTTTGATTTTTTGTTTTTTGTGATAAATTAAAAATACTCATAATTGCTGTACTTTAATTAAAATATTATAAAAATCATTTCATGGTACGAAATTAAAAAAGAAATGAGAAGAGATAAAAATATTATAGAACGGCAAAAAATCGAAAGGTAATGGAGAAATAGAACACAAAAATAAAATTTTAATTTCACAATACTCTGAACAAATAAATATAAAATTACTAAAAATAAAAAATTAATTTTTTCTTGCATTTATTTTTGTATTTCTTACTCCAGATTTTTTATTATTAATATATATATATATATATATGAATATGAGTATGTATGTATATTTATACATTTCTGACGGAATAAAATTTGATTCTAATGTACATGTGTATATTTTAACATATACTTGTATAAAAGCAAGTATGTACCTATGTATATTAACCAATTTATTGTACATTCATAAATGACATTAAATTGTACATCGGTTTATAATTGAAAATTGAATCTGAACTGTCAAGAGAGAAATTTTACCATTCAGGAAGGATTCAGGAAATACAAAAAAAAAAACTTTTTTTTTTTATATAGAAAGGATATTCTCTGTGCATTAAGGGCTACAATAATATAGTTCGTTGGCCGAGTATGATCCATTATCAAGCTGCGATTTTAAAAAATAAAACCATTTAACATCTATTGTATACTTATGGTACACGCGGGCCAAATTTCATAATTGAGAATTTTTAATAATTTAAAACAATTTAAATTTTTATCTTGGAAAAATACACAAATAAATATATTATTTTGTAAATAATAACTTTTTTTAGTTCTCAGAACCTTGTTTTTAACCCTAAGACCGGGCACAACCAGACAAAAATTGAAGAGCTCTCAATATTCTCTTGATTGTATATCGTATAGTTATATTTTGTTGACTGTTTTTTACGTCACTCTTGAGACTTGGAGTCTCGCATAACTGATTACTAGAAAGTTCTTGAATTAACTCATTATCCTTTATTAATTAATTAATTCATGATCCTTTCACAGGTAAAGGTATTAAGCTAAAATAAGTTCATAATTTCTAAAAACAATTTGTCTCATCATAAGTATTTCAAGAGAATTTAAATTTTTAAAATCAATAATTAAGATATAATTAAAAAATTCAGGTTATAAATGTTAATTCCTTGTTTATAAAAGTATAGTTAGTACTGGCGAGGCCAAATGGTAGTATAAACAAAGTGAAGATGTATATAACATCCCCAAACATACAAACAATTATTGTTACGATTGAAATGAAATTTTAAAAATTACCCAATATGGTTTCAAAAAATATTAATATTTTAATCTAAAAGTTACTCAAATAATAAAAAATCATAAGAATTCTTAGTAAACTAAATTAACAATTAATTCTATATTGAACCTTAAAAAATTTCATATAAAAATTTTCATATAAATTGTTTATATTGTATTTGATACGGCGGCATTCATTTTAATTTTTAACATAAAATTTAAGGTGAAAAATATTTAAAAAAAAACACAAACTAGTTTTTATTTGTGTTTTCCACCACAAAAACAGCAATGTAATTGTATTTGTTAAAACAAAAATTTATTATTTTCAAAAAACAAAAATTTTCATTATTTCAATCAAATTTAATTTTGAAATATTTTAATTCGTCTTTTTCGAATATATTATATTTGAGCTTTAAATGTTTGTGTGTGCGTGTGTGAAAAATTATATCCCTTTACTTTAAAATTCTCTTAAACAAAATACCCATTTTTTTTGTTTTTTTTTTTTGTATGATTCGAAGATTTAATATTTTTTCAAAATTTAAGAATTCTTTTTTTTTCTTTGAATAGCATACCAATGCTTTTCAAACATCTTTATATTTGGAATGTAAAATCAAAAAAAATTGACAATTGTTTGACAATTTTACATTGCGTAACAGTTTGAAACCTCATTCGTAAATTCACCATACAAAAAAGCCGGTTATAATCATTAAAGGTGTCATCTAACTTATCTGTGACATTAAATGCAACAATATTGTTTCTGCTACACAATTCAACCATTACAATTCATAAGTTGCAAATAACGTTTCAGGCTTATGCTAATTTTATACCTTAATAGTAGTAGAATATTTCAGTAAAAGCTGGCTAGGACTATGTATTTATCTTACACACACATTTCATATATGTACATATATTTTGTTAAATTATTTATTTGAAAAAATTTTAAAATTTAAAAAAATTCAAAGACTTACTTTGAAATATGTGATATTCTAAACATTCTAAAACGAACAACATACCTGTAACGAAATAAAAAATAAAGTTAAAATATTTTTAGAATTGTTAGATTTTAAAATTGTTTAGATTCCCTAAAATAAAAATATAAACATGACAAACAAAAAAAAAATTAAGGAGAATTTGAGAACTAATGAGGTTTTTCTATTTTCAAATTATAATTCAAGAAATTTTGTATAGATTCCCCTATAAGTGTTTTCATACATTTCATACATAAATAAGATTTCTCACAAAATTTTTATCTATATACCCTAACTTCCCAATTTAAATTTTCTTCAACATACACGAAACTCAACTTATGATTTGTATTTGATAAATTGAATATAATAATCACTGTATTACTGTATTAATTTTAAATGACTGATTTTTTCAAAGACAGAATACGCAGTAATTAAAACACAATACGCAGTAATTAAAAAATCTGTATATTAATACTGCAATATTACTGCAAATTTTAAATTAAGGATATAATTATTATTTTTATATTACTGAGTTGCAATATACTGATGCTATTATGTAGTATAAAAGTAATTCAAAATAAAGTTGGGTCAAACCAATGGGTTGTATTTTAGCACTTTTCATTCATAAACGAAACTATTTCTAGGATTGCATATATTTAGGATGAACGATTTATGCAGTCTTTGAAGTAAAGCAAAAATGAATTCAAAGAGGGGTTAACATAATGCTCGATTTTAAGGGTTAATTGCGTGAGTTAAGAAATATAATTATATTTTTTAATATCATGGAATTTACCGTTAGTTTTTTGCGTTTATAGAAATTTGAAAAAGGTTGCGGTTTCGGAAATATAAGGCGTCAAAAATTCAAATTTTACAAATTTTTTTCTAACGAAATGTTAGAAATTCTAAAAATTTTCTTCTAGCGAAATGAACCATTTGTGAGTGTCTAAAAGCTGTTAAAACTCCCACAACCTGAAGTCTTGAAGAGAAACGACATCAAAAATTTGGAAAAAACAGATTTTAGATTATTTTTAAAGTTTAACTATAGTATGCCGCGATAGGAGAAGCAAGCTAATGCCTTATGGTTTTACTACAACAAATAATTAAAAAAAGGCATTTTTAGGGTTTTGGGTGGTATAGCTTTTACATGAGGGAAGATAGGTAAAAAATTTGTTCTAGAGAAATAAGTTTCTAGTGTCATGTCCACGGACGGACGGGCGGACGGACAGAGTGAAACTAATAAGCACTTTTTTCAAATTTTTTTTGGAAAAGTGCTAAAAACAGATGTCTCGGTATGGCAACAACAATTATCATTGCCAACAAAAAAGCTAAAAAAAAAACACAGAACCAAAAGAGATCTTGACTTATTCAGTAAATAAAGTTGTACTTAATTGAATAAGTCAAGTTGATGTTAGACCTGCGTTCTAATAGATGCCAAAATTTTTTGTTTTTTTTTAATATCTTTAGTTTAAATATCACTGACCTTTGTTTTTAAAACAATATTTATACATATATATTTATATAATGTGTGTATTGTAATAGCCATAATTTATTCCCAAAAAAGAAAAATAATAAAAGTAAAAAAAAAAATATATTCATTTTTATTTATATATAAGTAATGTGTGCCAATAATTCAACACAGTTAAATAGCAAAAACTCTAATATTCACAATATTACGTGTATTCCACACAAACATAATAATAATACATATTAGAATCATAATATTAATTCACAATAATCCATACATTCACGATATTATTATTATTATTACATTATATAAGTATGTATGTAAGTACATATATCTATATGTATATATATTTCATTCTTTCCATAGAATATTCGAATCTAAAAACATAAAAAAAAATTATTCTTATCTTTTTCTATATTATTCTATTCTAATTTGTTTTTTTGTATCCTATTTTGTTTTTTTTTTGTTTCTATTAATTTTTTCTCTATCGATTCGCAATTTTAAATGAAATTTTTTAAATTTTTAGTCAATCAGTATCCAGTTGTAGTTCGTGTTTCGCCGCGTGAGAAGATTTTTTAATTTTTTTGTAAGAATATCGCGCATTCTTTTTAAAAAATCATCTCACCTCAAAACAAATATTCAATAAAATTGAAAAAAAAAATAAGAACCGAGACGAAAATATCGAGCCAGTTGGAAGAAATCAAATTTTTTTTTTTTTTAAACCCTAATTTTTTTTTATTTAACTGTAAATTTCTAAATTTTTCTCTTTTTTATTTTAATTTTTTCTTAATTTTTAAAAATAATTTTCTTTTATTTTCTTATTTAAATTTCATCGAATTTGCAATTTACAAAAAAATATTACAATAGAATTAAAAAAAAAAAGGAAATTAATTATTTTAAATAATTTTGATTATAGAAAATTAAAAAAAAAAATCAAAACGGAAATAATTAAAAAAATTAAAACGGAAATAGTTAAAAAAAAGCTGTGTGTTTTATCGATTTCTGAAATTCATTAAAACATTTAAAAAAAAAAACAAAAAAAAAAATAATAAAAATAAAAATTACATTTACAAAAACTTGGTGAATTTTATTTTTAAGATACTTATTTTTTTTTTTACTGTATATTTAACTCTAAAAATAAACTAAAGGATGTAAAAAGTAACGCAGACAACACAAAAAGGAAGTAAGAATTTAATTAAATTAATTTCACATACATTGATGCCAATTAACATACATTTACTTAGAGCTTTACTTATGTATATATAGAGTGTCTCGTATCATAATTCACTGCTATATATCATTGCATAGCGCCTTATGAGTAGACAAAACTTTTGTATGGAAACGATGTCCATAGCTCAACTAGTTTGGAGCAACAAGGGTTTAAACACAATCTCGACTAAAATCCTTAATCAGATCAGGTAGCATGATGATTCATATATCAAATTGCAGCTCAATTGACAAGGCTGTACAAGGCTGTACAAAAATTGGAGAAAGCTCCAATGTTATGTCACCCCGAAAATTAACGTTTTTTTTTTTTAAATGAAAAGTTAAAATTTCACATTTTTCGAACATGTCCTCATTTTGAGATTTTCAAATCATATTTAAAAAAGTGACGATGTAAGGACGGAGTTGTACTTAAAACTTCAAAAAGTAAAGAAATCGATCGAGATTGACTTTAAGTCTCTTAACTAGGAAGATTGTTTCCACACAAAAGTTTTGTCTAATCATGAGGCCCTATAAAATGATATATAGTAAAGTGCACTTGGATACGAGACATCCTACATAAATAACATCGCCTTCAAAATTACACTCTTTACTAGTTTGAAAATCTAAACTAATTATTTTTGAATTTGAAATACATACATATTATGAATGCAATTTGAACGGACAGACACACAATTCATGTGATCATTCTATAAAGATACGCATATTGGCCTGATATTCAAATTGCAATTAATTTTTTCAAGTACTTCACACAATACAAATTTAATTTTACACATATTTATAAGCTTAATTCTATAGTATCTCATTATATAGTAGATTATAATAATTTTGTTTTAATATCAGAGATTTTACTTGATATTTTTTATTAAGTACTCAAATTATGTAGGTACTTTGCATCAGTATTTTTAATAATAACAAAAAAAAAATACTCTAAAAATAACAATATTTTGACTAATAAATCGAAAAAATATTTCCATATAAAAATTCCTGACTTTTGATTAATTTTCAGAATAATCATCTACCCTTAAAAATTTAAATTATCATTCTTGAAAAAAAAAATATTTCTAAAAGTATAAAAGAAACACTCTTATCTTAGATCCAATTTTTTTGAAGTAAGCAATTTTATTCTATCAGAATGTTTTTTTAAAAACAAATGGAGATGTTTTGTACAAATGTATAGATGTATAGTAAATATATGTATGTAGCAAGACAGTTAGCTCAGTTAAAAGACAATGATCTCGGTTAATCAAATATACACAGGAAATTATTTTTTATAATTTTCTAATTTTAATACAGAAAAATCCTTTAAAAATTTTAATGCACACACTTATAAAAATTATTTCTTTTTCATTTGTACACATATTGTAGTTTATAGCACTTATACAAAATAAAAAAATTCAATATAGTTACCACTGACCTACATATTTATATTTTTGAAAGTCTCTTTAATTTCCTAAAATAATTTTTTTATCACCTACCATTTTTAAAGTAAATAAAATGAATTTGATTTTGTTTTATGAAAAATATTAATATAAAAATGTTTGATTGATATTTTTTACACCAAACACGGAATTTTATATTTTTATTATAAAATACAAAATTTTTAATTAACTTTAAAAATAATTTTTTTTCTTAATTCTTTACATTTTTTTTAAACTTTCCAAAATTTTATTAATTATTATGGCTTTTTTTATTTTTATGAAAAAACATAATAATTAATAAAATACAAGACCGAAATAATTCTTCATTTTCTTATACAAATAATATGTATGTGTATAAATTTAATCGCAGAGAGTCCGACTGGAGAGTTTCATTTCCATTTTCAAATAAATAAATAAATAAATAAATAAACAGTAAAAAACCTAAACAACAACTTAATTTGATCAAAAACCTATATACATACATTCTATATACCGTCAAAAGACGTGTATCCACACTGCTACTGTACTTGGGAGGAGTGATTCGAAATCTCATCCCATGGTTGAATTTTAAGATATGTATAATTTAAACCTAACGTAACTTTCGCATATCGATATAACATATGGGTGGTCGAAATTCCGCCCTCTGGTCGAATTTTGAGGTATGTTTATTTTCGACTTAAGGTGACATCCACAAGTCGATAAAGTATATCCTCGCGTTTTAGGTGTAGTGATGAAAATCCCAACCCATCGTTGATTTTTAAGATATGTTTATTTTCGGCCCAAGATGACATCCACAAATCGATATAATAAATCCGCCGCGCTTCCGAGCTTTTGCTGAAACCAAAACTTAAAAAATACCAACAGCACGCTACTTTGTAGAATACAAAAGCTCTGTATTATGAACACAATTTAATGTGTTTAAATACGACAAAAATTATCCTTCAATAAATATAAACTCAATAGTTTCAAAAATCCACAGTTTGAAAGATATTCATTATATAGACACTGCACTGTAATAATTCTTCTTATTTGGTTATCGTAACTTAATATTTTTAAAAATTTTTTATTTATGCTTACGGAATTAAAAAATATTTCTTTTAAATATTAATTGCAACTTAACCGCGACCGGGATAGGCTTCGTTTTTAGTAAATTGCTTTGATGGAGTTGATTTTATTGATTTTGAAACTCGAAAAATACAACTAATACAAAAGTACAAGAGTTTAATATTTATATAGCGACTAAATTACAAGTACTCAAGTATTGTTTATATGCATATTAAAGATACTTAAAGTATGGAATTACTTTAAGTATTTTTCATATATTATAAACTTTATTATAGAAGAATTCACATGAGTTTTCATATTAATCCCATACTTTAAGTTTCTTCAATATATAAGCAGTACTTAAGAAATATTTAGTCTTCGATATATAAATTTTAAACTTTTATCATTTTGTGTTGATAGTATTTTTCAAGTTTCAAAATCCTAAAATCATCTCCAACATAGAGCCATTCATTAAAAAAATCCAATTCTGGTTGAGATTAAATGTTTCTTAATCCTTGAAATATTGCATTCAAATGTTTATTAATTTTATATACCTGTGTAAATTAATAATTTTTAAATATTATTTAATTAAGTTATAATAACAAAATTAAAGGAATTATTACAGTGGAGTCTCTATATAACGAATACATTTCAAACTGTGGATTTTTGAAACTATTGAATTTATATTTATTGGAGAGTAAAGATTTTCATTATCGTATTTTAACACACCCAATTTTGTTCATAATAAACAACTTTTGTATGCCTTTAGGTCCTTAAAACAAAAAAAAAAATGCTGTTGCAAAATAAATTTATCTTTGTTTTTTTTTTAAGATTTTTAATAAACAAAAAATATTTAGAAATGTTTTCACCTGCGCTATTTACTTTTTCTTTAAAATTTTTATTAAAAAATTGAACAATGACTTGGGACTTCAAGCCACCATCACTATAGGGCAGTTGAATTGTTATATCGACTTGCGCATATATCAATTAAAAATCGAAAATTTACATATTTGTAAATTCTGCCTTATGAGAAGTTTCAAGCACGATCCCTGAAGTGCGAGGATCGGTTTTTTCGGCTTATGGAGCATAATTTAGTCCGAAGATATACATATTTTGAAATTCGGCGAACTTCGACGAGCATTTTTGAAACACAGCAGTGAGGGAGGAAGCATCTTAAAATTCGGCCATGGCGCGAGATTTCAAATCATTTTTTCCAACTACAGTATATCTTGGAATACACGTCTTTCGAATCTCTGAATAAGAATATATATATAAGAATATATATATATATATATCTACACACGTATATATGATTTTGATAAGCCCTTATCCAGGATTTTTTATTTTGAAAACGACGTTCCGGCTGGATTCTCTTTGATTAATGTTTTACTATATTTTAGAGAATACATTGTTATTTAATTGTTTTTTCTTTTTTGGGTGGATTATTTTGGTTATTAGTTAATAATAACATTAAAAAAATTAAAAATGACTAAAAGAAAACATAATAATAAATTAAATTAAGCAATAATGAAAAAGCAAGGTATTAAAGAATTAAGAAAAAGAAATATATTTTTAAAACTAATAAGAAATTTGTATTTAAAACCCAGTTTTTTTGATGCACAAAAAAAAAATCCATAAAATATTTAGGTTAATATTTTTTCTTTAAAAAATAATAATAATTAATAAAACTTTCAAATAATTAAAATGAAAGTGAATAATAGAATTTAAGATACTTAAAGTATGGACAGAGGTATAATAACCCAATTCAGTAATTAGTATAATAATTTAAAATTTTCAAAATTCCATTTCTTACCAATTTTAATTCAATGAAGAATGAACAAAACTAATTTCAATTAATTTAAAATTAACAAAAAAAAAAAATCAATTTATAGCACTTTCAATAATTCTAATTTACAAACTTGAATTACTTATGTACATAAATACTCGTATGTACATAAGTTTTTCTAGATAACGGTAATATAGGGTTATTCTGTATAAAAATATGTTAGTTTTATTTTCTCGAAAGAAATTTTTTGTTTTTTAATTGTTCCTCAATTCAGACACATAATAATGTACATACATTGTTTTTGTTATTGTTGTTGTTTCAAACATTGCATACAAATTATTATTGCGCCTGTACATTACATATGTATGTATGTAGGTATTTATAATATTATATACTGTAAAAGAAAAAAAATTTAATTAGTTAACATATGTAGTTAACATCATTCGTGTGAACACTATACACACATATGTACTTATTTATGTACATTTATACAAACATATATACATATATGATTTGTACTGAAATTAAAAATATTTTTAAAATAAAAATATTAAAAAAATGTTAATTAATTTAAACGGGGAATAAAAATGTTGTGAGCAGCTTGTTTTATTACCGCAAATCTTACATATACATATTTCTTTTTTCAAAAAATACGAGAGTGTGTGTGCGCTATTTTTGAAAATTGAAAAATTTTCTAAATTTTGAGTTTTTTGCTTTTTTTTTTTACTTTGGAATATGAAATTTAAGCCAAATTTATTTTTAAATAAAAAACATTGTTCCGTTTCGTTGCGTTCTAATTTCTCTTTTGCGTTTGATTTTTTTTCTATTTTTCCATTATGAAACAAAAACAACAACACTGTACACACAAATTTTTTTTTTAAAATTTGACGTTTTAATTTTTTTTTTGCATATGTAATAAACATTTACGCATTCACACACATATATTATATGCATTTTAATAAGTAGATGAAAAAATAAAAGAAAAAACAGAATGAGAAATCTATATCTGAAAATATGTATGTATTAATAAAAATTTAAAGTGATTAATACCCCCGCATTTTCCAAGAACAAATCACACAATGGGGATAAGAATATTAATATAATTCAATAATGCTGTGTGATTTCATTTCAGTATTCTTCAGCGTCAAATTCCAGGCATTCATTTCCAAATTTGAAAAATGCAATCTGTTTGAATCATGACTTATGTATGGTATTATTTTATGCGCCTTAAAACAATACGGATGTGATAATTATAATAATAGGTATTGAACTTAAATTCCATGTTATACATAACATATACATTATGACAATAACTTTTTATAAATATGTATATATGCAGAAACGTATTTTCTGATTCCATATACATATATATGTAGTTGAATATTTTGTAAATTTTATATATGAAATAATGTATGGAATTCATTCAAATAATTTTTTATAGTGATATTTGTAGGGCTTCTATAGTACATAGAAGAAAACCTGTTTTTGAAAAAGCAAATTTCTGTATATGTAATATATGTGTATGTAAAACTATTTAAATTTTGAAAATTTCAATAATATTTAAGTAATATAACACAATATATATTTTAATTAATTGACACAATTGCTTTTCATTTGTTTCCATTTTTATTATTTTAAAATTTAATAAAAAAAAAAAAACAATTTTAATTCAAAAAACGGTATTTTCTATATATATACATACATACATATAGAGAAAGAAAATTTATGAATATTTAAATGTTATATTTTTAGAAAATGAAAAGTTTATTATGCATTTTTGACTTATTGACACATATATATAAAAATAAAACCAAATATTTTGGCATAAAAAACTACATTAGAAACTATTTTTAAACCACTGACGTTTTAACAGAATTAAAAAAAAAGATAAATTAAGATTTTAGTATATCATTCTAATAAAAAAATGAATAATACAGTTTTAGAGTAAAACAGTTATACTTTGCAGGCAAATATATGATCCACCTATTTTCAATACTAAATAAGATATATACATCTATACAAGGCCGAAAGATTATAGTAGAAGAAATATCAAATATTTATTCAAATAGAACGGCTTTAATATTTTCATAATTATTGCCGAACTTGCAATTGATCCCATAGTATAACTGGAGAAGTCAGAAGAATATATCAAGAACACATTATTTATATTTTTACATGCTAGGTATATATGTACATTTTAAATAGTATCTTTGTTTTCTTAGATTATTTTAAATTAAATCCCTTTCGGCACTTTTCCAAAAAATTAAAAAAAAAAATAGATCTTTACTAGAGACTTATTTCCGCAAAAGAAATAATACCCCCCCCCCCCCTATTTAAAATGCTATTTTTTAATTATTTATTACAGCGAAACCATAATCATTTTCCAAATTTTGAAAACGCAGAAAAGTAGTGGTCGCATTGTATTCGTTATTACAGGATACCTTATCTTTGATAGCTTGTGTAATTTTTACCTTGAGTACAATTTTTTTCTGGAAACCACCCCGTCTTCAACCGAATTATTTCGGAAACGGGACGTTGCACAAAAAATATTCTTAAGAGGTTTTTAAGAGGACTACTCAGTTTTTTAAATTAAGAAAGAAAAAATGGAATAAGGTAAATTTTTTAGTGATTGGCTATACTTTATGAAAAATTTGATTTTTTTTTAAATGACACAGTTTTCAAAAGAAAAAACTAATTTTCAGCTTTCCATTGCATATTAACTGTTTTAAATCGGTTAATAATTATGGAAGTTAAAGCAATTTAAGGCTATACACTTTTTTGTCGAAGCCAAAAATTTTGGCTTCGGGGATTTGGGGAATTGCCAAGAGACTATACAACTTTACAGGTTCACCCAGTATAATACGAATATTTAAAATATATACTTTTATACATTCCCTCCTACAATAATACACACATATTTATGTATATATATGTATGTACAACATACATGTATACAATAATATCTAAAAAAAAATATTTCAGCTTATTATATTTCTGGATTGTTTGCAAATTTAAATGACTATTAATAAAAAATATATGTATATATGAATGTACCTAACATACATGTATTAACCACGTTCCATAATATCAAGGTAATAAATCGTCAACAACGGCGACAAGAACAGAATTTTTTAACGAAAGGAACCAGAATTGTAGCAATAATTTGAAAAATCACAATTTTTGTCAAAATGATATTGAAGTTTTTTTAAAAAGAGTATGGAAAAGAAATTGAGAGTTGAATGAATAATGTATTCAAATGTCTTATTAAATTGAGAAATAACAAGGGATTTTTCTTTTACATCACAAGTATATTTATTAAAACAAGATTGTATTTTTAATTTTTATTATTTTCTTTTTTAAAATCATATGATTACGGAAATAAATAATGAAAAAGAGAAAAATTTAAAGAGCTTTAAAATTTTCGTACTAGACTAGTTTTTCCATTAGAAAAATTTTTTCTTTTTATTACGCCATTTCACAAATACAAAGAAGCAATTGTTTTTTTTTTCTTTGGTTTTTTGGAGGACAAAAAAAATATTTTTTGATATTTTTAGTTACATACCATATAAATTTTTTTTCCATAGTACCTACATTCAGTTTCTCTCTTTAAAATAAAAAAAATTTGGAAAATTATTTTTGTATACAAAAAAAAAAAAAAAAAATTTTGTAACTGGAGCTCTTCTTTTCAACAACAAATTGTTTGAAATTATTTTCTATTTTTATATTTTTTGTGTCGTTATAATAAAAAAAAACAACAAATTAATTACTATGTGTGCATAAAGGATTTTGTGTTTAATATAATATTAATCGCGGTCCATTAACACATACTTGCATATATGTATATATATTTAGCGTTTAAAGAGAAAATATTTAGTCAGATTTCAAATTAATTATCAACACAAACATAAAAATTACAAAATTTATATGCGCGTACGTGTCATACATATTTTAGGATACTTTAAAAAATTTAAAAAAAAGTAACACATGACATATTGTGTGTGACTGACTGACTGGCTTGATTATATATATACATATATATATAAATTAATATTGTTTTGAAAAACTTTAATATATTGCAATATTTATTATATAATCTGATTTCAAAATTTATGTTAATACGGTATTAATACGAAATTCCGCAATTGCATCTCATAACCTGAATATTGTGAATATCAATATAATATAATATTATTTCAATTTGGAACTCATGACATATTTTCCCCTGAGATAAAAAAACAAAAAATCACGAAAAATTTTTCCTACAGAAATATTTTATAAACATATAATGTAGGAAAAATTATTGAATCTTCAACTTAAGTTTACTTTATTTAAGTGAAAAGCACCTAACCGCCAGTTCAGATCATTATATTATCATACACACATACACCCCTTATAATAACCGGGTTAAATTTTTTATATTAAAAAATGTTTTATTGATTGTTAGGTACAGATTGTAGGATTAGAAGTACAGAACATTTTACTGTTAGCTGTTTCTACAACAGCTTTAGCATAATAATACGATATCAGGACACAATTAAACTCAAAGGTTATAATTTCTGAATTTTGTGTAAATAAATGTATTACAGCAATTTTGGATTTTATTGTTTTAATATATATATGTATATATATATAGGAATTAGGGAATACGTCCAACTACATATGTCTGTACACATATTAAATGTATACAACTCTCTCTTTCTCTCTCTCTCTCTCTCTCGTTACAGAGATTAATATTATTGACATCTCAATTTATTTTATATATGTGTAGAAAATATGTACATCCATATAAGACTATATCAAATCATATGCAATTTAAAGCTTTGCTATTACTGCAAATTTCGTCATACAAACTTTTTTTTATTATTAAATATTTAATATAAAATTATAATTATATGATATTACTCGTAATTAGAATGGCATTAATTAAAAATTTAATTTTTTTATTTATTTTCAGTATTGCCAAATTTATGAAATCACAACGACGATAAATAATATTTGAAAAAAAAAAAATAGAAAACGAGTTAAAAAAATATTTTGTTTTTGTTTTTTTTTAGTTTTTTTTAATGAATTTCAAAAATCGAAAAGTATCCACAAATACACAATTAATAATGATATAATTAAAAGAAATTTTTCTTTTATATTATAAAAAACAATTTATAATAAAAAATAAAAAAAAATAATTAAGTAAAATTTTATTTAATTTTTTTTTTAATAATATTTTTTGATTCATATAGGAGAAAAATCAAAGATAGAGAAAAAATAAAAAATTATAAAAAATTGTTTCACAATCAAAATTTTGCTTTAAACATTAAAAATGGGGGTGGCAGATGATTTCGCCCCCAGTTTTATTAAAAAACCACAGCTTCGGCAAGAAGATGATGGAAACCGTTTAATATTTGAATGTCAATTATTATCATCACCGAAACCAGATATAGAATGGTATCGTAGTGATAATTTAGTTAAAGAAGACGATAGAACTAAAATTAAAATTCAACCAATTGGCGATAATAAATTTACTGTAGTATTAGATTTAGATGATGTTGTCGAAGAAGATGCTGGCCTTTATAAGGTCAAAGCTAAAAATCTTATGGGAGAAGTATCAGCGTCAATTAATTTAAATTTTACCCGTAAGTAATAATATTTATTTTTTTATTAAATTTATTAAATTTTTTTATATATTTATATATTTTAATTTTTTTTATATATTTTCATTTACAATTTAATATAAAATGGTATACGCGTTATCTATTATACCAACACAAAATTAATTAAAATTTAAAAACAAAATATTTACAATAAATTTCGATTTAATTTACACATATGATCATAATATATATATATATATATATATATTTATAATGATTAGCTGCAGACGAACCTTCAGAAAAGTGAGTTGTTTGAGAAATATTTATCGTGATTGCTTTAATTTTTTTAATTTTGGCGCCTTTAAATTACTTGATAAAAGTTTTTTTTTTTGCTTAAATTTTTGCTCTTTTTTAAGTGCTTTCTAAGCTTGAAACAAAACTAAATATTATATGCTTTTGTAATAATGCAAAAAAAACTTTGACCAAAAATACAAAAATTTAAAAAATTCTAAAACCTATATTAAAAAAAAGGCCATCGTATTACAAACTGGAAATCAGCTTATTCAAGTTACTAATTTCTGAATGGATTATAGTATTATACGAAACGATATTTTTCTTTTATAATAAATGCAAATTATAATCTGCAATCTATGCTCAAATTCAGAAATTCAAATTATATTTTCTGAGAGCAAGTCAAATTAACGTTATAGAATTCCTTTTTTATATTTTAATTAAAATTTAATTATGCTTGTTCAAATAATTAAAAATTTTGATTGCGATATTACTGAAATAGATTCTATATTGGATATATTCAATAATATATTAAGGTTAATAAAAAACGATTAATTATATAGTTGACTGTGTCAAATCTGTGATACCCGTAGGAATAAATAATTTTTAATGTAGGAGATAGATAATTATCATACAATTTCATACCTATTGCTCTTCATATGTTGTTAATTTCCACATACATGGTAGTTGTAATACAAACCAATATAATCTAAGAGTTTTACTGAAAATTTTGACCATATCACTAAATTTGTTTGTTCAACTTATGAAGTTGTATGAAAACTACGGCAAGCAGTCAAGAAATTTCAACGGCTTTTATCAAATCTTACAATTCTAATCTAATAATATATTTGCTTCTGCAAATTTTCAAAACTATGCCCTGAATAATTTCTGAGTTTTTGCCAAATTTCAGTACTGTAGGTTGAACAATTTTTAAGATAAATAATGTTTCAAGTTGTATGACAGCTACCAGAAGGAGCCAAGCAGTTTCAATGAAATACAATAGTTCCAATAATATAATGACTTTTATCAAATACAATAGTCCCAATAATATATTGACTTTTGTGGAATTTCAACACCATATCTTCTATAATTTCTAAGATATAGCCAAATAAATTGAAGTTGTATAGTAGTTAACCGAACCAGTACCTAAATAATACCGAATTTAATTAGGGTTTTAGCATTTGTTATAATAAATAACTTGCGAAAATTTGGTGAACTTAACTAAATTAGTTGTTGAGTTATCGTTGCGACGGACGAAGGGACGTACAAACAGGCGGACAGACATGGTTATATCGACTTTGCTATACCCTGCAAACATACGTGCATACTGGCATAAAAACCATAATAAAATAATTTATGAAGAAAATAGAATTGAAATATTAAAGATATGTAAATAGTAAATCAGCGTGCACCCGTATAATTTACATTACTTTGACTTCAAAATTTGCTGTAGTATATGCACTATTAATGCACATTCAGCCTATATCCATTTGTAATTGCTAAAATATTGCATCAATTTTGAAGTTACGTTTATTACACTTATTTCTCCAAAATTCAGCCCATATTTTATTTATTGCTGAATTGTACAAAATATAATATTATACAAGCAGTTTTATTATAACGTATTAATTTCAATTTTCTTATTATGTTTTCTTGTTTTTTTTTCCCTTTTTTCTAAATACATGCATATCAAAATAACGCTTTTAAAAATGCTTTAAATTTGCTATAAACTTTTTGATGAACATTTTAAAATTACCTATAATATTACACCCAAAATACAAAATAAAATTCCTATGAAAACTTACCTTAAGCATAGAGGGAAAATTTTCCGTTATTCCTGAAGAGTAAGTATACGAACATAAACACCATCCCCACGTATTGTAAATAACCCTTTTTCATTGAATATACGAATAAAAATTCGTGTAATAATAATTATTTATGAATCAACATCCCGAAAACAATAACATTGGTTTGTTATCTGAAAATAATAAAAATAAAAAAACGTTTTGGTTAAAAAATAAAATTATGCTAAATTCTTTTGTGTTCTAACACTTGTCACTACTCTGATTAAAAAAAAATAAGAAATGTTCGATTAACGTGGCATCCAAGTTGCCAACAAAATGGAAAACTAGTATCAAATGTCAAAAGATTCGTTTATTTGCATTTTATTTATGCAACTTGGATATTACAGTTAATTTATGAACTAAGTTTATAGATTAAACAAATTCTTGAATGGTTTAGCAATGCTAAAGATTTGAAAATATTTTTTTTAACATGGTTCAATACCCAATTAACCAGAAAATATGTATAATTTAATATAAGAGTTGTGTTTTAATTATTTTAAATATTGTGTGTTATAAATATTTTGTTGTTTATTAAAATATTTATTAAAACAAAATTTTTAAAAATTTTAAAAGTGAAAACAAAAAATCATGATATTTTATTTTTCTTACTACAAACAAAATTATAAATAAAATAGGCAAATTGATGGATTTGCTCCAACATTTGCAAAGAAGCCTGCAATCAGACAGGAAGATGATGGTAAAAGACTGTTGTTTGAATGTCGTGTTAATGCAGATCCAAAGCCCACAGTTACGTGGTCAAATAATGGCGTTGTAGTTTCTGAATCACCCAGACACAAGGTTAATAAAAATTTTTTTTTATATATTTTTCCTTATTTTTATATTTGAAAATGATATTCAATTTATTTTAAGAAGGAATTCAATATTAAAATCTTTGATTTCAAAATTACACTAATGTTATAATAATGCAGAAACATAATTAGGCACCCTGACAACGGAATTTTAATAATACCGTATCGATACACAATTCAGTAATTGACATTTATAAGCTGAATTTTGAATTAATACAGTATTATTACAATTCCCATCTCAGGGGCAACCCTAACTGATTAGAAGAATTGTGCGTATATATGTATATGCCATTATAACTGTAATTTTGGCGTCAGAGAGTTTTCTAAATTTATAATACAAAATTATTATTTTCATAAAAACTTATTTTACTCAAACTTAACTATGAAATGTTGTAAATAGAATATTTATGCAAAGGTCTATAATAAATACCAAATATAATTATAAGCAGACATTGCATATATTTTAATTATTATTGAAAAATACTACAATTTTAAATAATATCCTTATGAATCTAAAATTACACTATTATGATATTAATATACAAATTCAGTTATTCCAACTTATAAACTAAATTGTTTAATAATATATGTATACAACTGTATATATATATATATAGAAATGAGACCAAGTTTTTTTTTAATATTTTAATGTTAACTGTTAACATCTATCATTTAATTATAATTTAATACACGACATATTTATTATTACTATCATAGTTTTATATCAAAAACAAAAAAGTTCTCTTAGTAAATTTTCATTTACATCCATTGAGCCATTAAAATTTATTTGCTGAGAAAAATTTTGATTGAGAGATAATTTTAAATTTATCTAATAAATTTCTTTTATTAATTTTTCATAATTCACATATACGAGTACGATCAAAATTTGGCTCCATCTTCCCTTTGGGATATCCAAATTGTAGTGATGTCATTAATCGACCTCGAAATGTCATTAATCTTCTCTTAATTATACAATTCAACTAATGAATTTTAATTGCTGAATTTTCTAAGTAATCTAACAAATATAAGAGGGTGTTTATTTTATCTTAATTCTTCTATTTAATCCAATTTAAAAATCTCCATTAATTTCAAATTTCCCTTGACCTCCACATCACATAATATTACCAGATATTAATATGTAGTAATTCAGCAATTCACACTTGCATAATTATAATATGAATTGTATGAATTTTTAGCATCATATATTACTACATTTTGGAAGTGGAGGTTCGTTGATTGTTATATTTTGTATTTTTGTAATCATATTATATTAGATTCCAAAATTTGTATATTATTAAAAATATAAAAAAGTTATAACAAAAAATTTTTGAAAACAGTTAAAGGTAGAAAAGGATGGTAAAAATTCGTATTTTGCATCACTACAAATTGAAAATGTCACAGTTGAGGATGCTGGCAAATATAGAGTAAATGCAAAAAACGAACTTGGCGAGAGTAATGCTACTATTAGTTTAAATTTTGACAGTGAGTATCTTTTTTTTCTTTTTATTTTATTTTCTTATTATCTTTTTATGTTTTATGATGTTCCTTGAGTTCCAAAATGCAATAATACGGTATTACTACCCATTTAATACCCTCTTACTGCATTTCGGAAGTCAAGCGTTTTAAAATACAAAATATTCAGATATTTTATATTGCTCTAAATGTTTTTTTTCCTAATAATTTTTTTATCAAATTTATATATTTTTTTTCATATGTATACTTTTTTATATTTTATAAATTAAAAAATATTAAAAGAACTAAAATTGCCATGTATAACGTTGCAGTAACGTGAAAATATTTTGATTTTAAAATTGTATAGTAATTCGGTATTAAATAGTACATACTTCAGCTTTGATGTTTTCGAATCACAAGCAGTGTTATAACACTTCAGAAAATAAACGTTATACAAGGAGAATATATATAATGCATTTTATTTTTTTATTTTCTCCATAATTATTATCATAATTATGTATCATGTACAATTGATTTTTTGTTTTGAATATATACCATATTACATACTATATAACAATAATTAATATTTATGTTATTTATCATATACATACATATATGTACAATGTATGATAAATACAATCTATGACTTAAGAATGGCAATAATACTGTATCGCTAGTACACAATTCAGCACTTATAATTATTACTGTATTCAGTTATTCAGAATGTATTATATTAATACCGTATTATTGCAATTTTGAACTTCATATTGGACGCCTACCAAAATGCAACTCTAACTTGAAATTAATTTATTCAGTAATAAAAACAGTATTGCTGAATAAGTCAAGTTGAAAATTTATGCAATTTTGTTAACGCTTAGTATATTGATTGCAATTATATATAGTATATATATGTTTGTTTATATTATATTTATTTTTCACTCACATTCTACTCACGCATAACTTTTAATTTATTAAAATTAAATTAAAAAAAAAAATAGCTTAAACAATTAAAGGAATTTTTTTTCATAAACTACTAAAAAAAAATTATGGAATTAATAAAATTTTTTTAAAAAAGTTTGAATATATAAATTAAATATACTTATAATACAAAAAAAACAAAACCAACAACTAAGCTATAATAATAAGCATAATTTAAACAACTTAAAAATAAAATCTCAATATTTTTAACTCAATATAAATGAATTATTTCTCCATTATTTAAACATTTCTTTAATTATAATATTATTAAAAAAAAAAGAAACAAATAAATGTACCATTAAGGTAAAACAAAAAAATGCAATGGTATTGGGTTTGAACTTCAAAATTTCTCAGTAATATTGTATCAAAATACAATTCAGCTTATATGAACTGAGCTATGTATGTATATATGTATATATTATATCAAGTCAAGATTACATTGTTATATGCAGCTTAACAATTAAAAATTCATCAATTAAAATAAATTTTTTAACACAATTTAAGTGTCCAGGTTACTATTGCTGATAATTTATATGTATATATATAGAAACATGTCGAATAACGATTGGAGCCAACCTACATGAGCTGCGAATTATTAGATAATACATTTGATAATTGAATAACGGCCACATAACACAATTTTTTTAAAAACTCTGAATGATTCTATTCATCTTAAGACAAATGTATAGCCTTACAAATTCTTATTTGCAATGCAATTGATTCCAACTAAAATAAATTTAAAATTGTAAATGCATGTATGTATGTATGTACATACACATATACACATATAATATTTTAAGAATTAAATCTAGCTTACAAACATATGTAAAGTTACTTCAAAAGCTTTGAATAATGAATTCAGTTTTGAAAATCAAGAAATAATTTAGAAAATCTTAGCTCTATCTTATATATATATGTCTATTATCCATAGATATTTATATCTATACATACATAAAAACTACATGATATATGTACAGGTACATAATATATATGTAGTTATATATAACTTCACTAAATTTAAATTTTAAATTTCTATATTCATATATATATGTATGTTTGTATATTTTCTTATTTGTTTTTTCCTTATTTTATCAGGCCGATTTCTGATAAAAAAAACTCAGATTAAGCTTAAAAAAAGCTAAATACAATTTAAATTTTTTACAAAATAACGAAGAATACTCGTAAAACTATTGGATATTTATATTTAGAATTTAGAAAATAATTTTAAAGTAATATGAAAAATTAAATGACAATGTTATACATACATATGTATATACTTAGTTCAGTTTTTGAAGCCTCATAAGTTATTGAAATGAGATGAATTCGAAAATTCGGAAAATCATTTACTACTTTTTCCTTTAAACTGTTCCGTATTCTCCACTCGGCTGTTAAACCAGCCTATTTATGAAAATGATTGAAAAACTATATGTTTATATAATATATAATATTACTTTGAAAGTATATAATATTTATTAAATTTCAAATACAAATTATTAAAAATAATGCAAAATTAATATAAAAAGAAATCATACCAAAATATCAGTTGTTTTAATAAAAAAATACATAAAAAATTGAAATTCTTTCTTTTGAATGTTAATGCGAAATTTCTACAGTATATATTTCAAAAAGATATACATATAGAAAAATCCAACAAACCATATATATAAAATATTTAATTTATTATTTAGAACTTCTTATAAATATATATATAAATTATAATTTCTTTTAAAAAAAATCATTTTTTACAAATTTAAAAATAAAAAAAATAACAAAATCAAACTAAAAACAAATTAATTCTTATATACTCATATATACATATATATATATATATATATATATATATATATATATATATATATGTATATATATATATATATGTGTATATATATATATTTTTTTAGAAATATATATATTAATAAAAAAAATGCAATTAAATATATATTAATAAATTAAATAATGTCTTAAATAAAACAAAAAAAACAAAATCTTTCCCAAAAAAAACTATACCAATTTAATTAAAATCCTATATATAAAAAATCACAAATATATATATAATAAAAAAATATATAGGCGACGAAGCACCTGTTCCAGTTGATGGAATAAAACCAACGTTTACTGAACGACCTGTGATTCGACAAAGCGAAGATGGTGGAAATATCACATTTGAATGCAGATGTGTTGGCGATCCGAAACCAACAGTCTCTTGGTACCTAACATATAACAACTATATATTATACTATATATATACATACTTATATATAAATAATTAATTAAACAATTATTATTTATATATATATTTTATATATGTAAATATATTTATTTAAAAAAAAAACTAAAATTCATTTTAAATTAATTACAAAAAAAAAAAACGAAAAATAACCCCATATACTTATATTAAAAAGTAAATAAGTCTTATTTAAATAAAATCAATTACATAATCACTAATCACAACAAAAAAAAAACAATACCTAAATAACCTTAAAAAAATTCAAATATAATTTAATAAAATGTAAAAATAATAATTTTTATTTATTTTTTTTTAACTTTTTCATATATACATACATATATTTAAAAAAAAGTCTATAATTTAAATTTTATTTTTAAACCGAAATTATAAAAATTCATCACATTGATTGCCATTAATTTTGATTGCCTTAGTTTTCATCTTAACGCAGTTATATATGTATATAAATACATATCCACATACATATGTACTCAAAATATAGAAATTTATATACATATAGAATATTACTGTATTAAATACTCAAAGTATAGAAAAATTTATATACATATACAATATTACTTTGTCAAAATGGCTATTTGTCTACCAGACTTTTCCATTCTCTAAAATTATTTTAATAATTATTTTATATTAGACATACATACGTACATATATAAATGCGATGCCGTGTAGAGTAGATATGTGCGTGCCTTTAAGCCTTTTAAAATTTTAGAACAAACTTTAACTGTTTTTTTTTTTATATAAAATTAAAAATTTTCCAATTCACTTAATTTTTCGTAAAAATTAAAACTTCTTTTTTTTTTTTTACATTTTGTCACATTATTTAAACAATTTATTTTGTTTTAGCTTAAGTTTAGTTAAAATTTCAAATTTATTTTATATTCGACATACATACGTACATATATAAATGCGATGCCGTGTAGAGTAGATATGTGCGTGCCTTTAAGCCTTTTAAAATTTTAGAACAAACTTTAACTGTTTTTTTTTTTATATAAAATTAAAAATTTTCCAATTCACTTAATTTTTCGTAAAAATTAAAACTTCTTTTTTTTTTTTTTACATTTTGTCACATTATTTAAACAATTTATTTTGTTTTAGCTTAAGTTTAGTTAAAATTTCAAATTTATTTTATATTCGACATACATACGTACATATATAAATGCGATGCCGTGTAGAGTAGATATGTATGTGCGTGCCTTTAAGTCTTTTAAAATTTTAGAACAAACTTTAACTGTTTTTTTTTTATATAAAATTAAAAATTTTCCAATTCACTTAATTTTTCGTAAAAATTAAAACTTCTTTTTTTTTTTTTTACATTTTGTCACATTATTTAAACAATTTATTTTGTTTTAGCTTAAGTTTAGTTAAAATTTCAAATTTTAAATATTTTTGTAACAAATTCAAGCGTACAGAAAATGATTAAGAAAAAAACTAAGCATTTTTTTTACGTTCCATTTCCCACATTCTTGCCAACTATTATAATAATATATATTATGTGGATATATTATGTGGAGCATTTTTTTTTTACGTTCCATTTCCCACATTCTTGCCAACTATTATAATAATATATATTATGTGGAATCTAATTTATTTCTGCAATTCATTTTTTTGTATGGCTTATGTCATTTTAATTAAGAGAGAGGATATACATACATATGTACATGATCGTATAATAATGGAACATCTTATAAGTGGATCAAGTCACGGCTGACAGAAATACAAAGATAATATTTTATATTTGTTTAGGAACGTTAGGTGTACATATACTAATTAATACAATATATAACCAGTATTGCCAAAATTGAATATTTTATTTCACAGTCGTGAAATAATTTTTGTCGAAAAATTCATTTTTTTGCACTTCAAGTCAAAATTTTTTTCAAAAAAAAAAGAGTAAAAATTTTCCTTTTGTTTTTCACTTTAGAAGGAACAGGCAATTCATTTTTTCTTAATAATGCTTTTATCTTCAAAAAATGTCAAAATGCCATTGTTCAAGCTTTTAAAAAATTTTATCTGGCTTTTAAATTTATTTTAAATAATTAAACTAATTAAGGCTTCAAATCAATTGATTTTTAAGTTTTATCAAAAATACAAAAATGTTAAATGATTTGAATGTATCGTGAACGATGAAATATTCAATGATGATTTTTTGGAAATACTTCAAACCTAGTACTGTTAACTTAATTCAACTAAATGTTAAATCAAATTAATTTTATGCAATGTGTTCAAACTTAAATTTATATGATATGCTTTTTTATTTATTTAGTCTATTATTAGGAGCTATTTTTATTTAATTTTACAAATTTAATTTAATTTCCGCTATTGTGTTACTATCAATGGGCCCTTGGCATACTTTCGCGATACAGATTTTTCGTTCCTATAACAAACCCAGCATATAAATCACAGAAAAGAAAACGGAACATAAAATGGAACATTTTTTTTTACAAGTGCAATATTTTAGTTTTATATTTTAGTTAAATAAACTTATTTAATGTTTAATAAATTAATTCGATTAGCCCAAATTTTGAAAAACTTAAATATCAAAAAGTTTGCGTTTTGAAAACATGTAGACGTCAGCTTTCATTTGGCAGTCAATGTGTAATTTTTATTAATTCAAAAACTTACATTTTATATCATATATTTAAAAATACAAAAAACAAAGAAAATTAATAAAAAAAGTGTAATAAAAATAATTTTTTTAACTGCATAATATATAAACATCTGTATAAATATGTACATATATATTATATATAATAAATAAAGGTTTCATGGAAAAGAAGAAATAAGAGAAGGAGGTCGCTACAAAATGTCTTTAGAAATTGATCAAAAAATATATCATTTGGCTAGATTAGAAATATCAAATGTTGTTACTGGTGATAAAGGTGAATACAGAGCAAAAGCTAGAAATAAGCACGGCGAAGGTGTCGCAACCATAAATGTTAATTTCGAAGGTTCATCTAACAAGTAAGAAAAATAAAATAATAATAAATTAATAAAAAGTTTTAAAATTTTTGATAATAATAATAACAGAAGAAAAACGAAATATTTTTATGTATCAATTTTAAAGAAATTAAGTATAATAATAATAAAATTTTATTAAATTTATTTTAAAAATGATACACAATTATTATTCGCTAAAAATTCAAATTAAACTCATAAACCTGAAATTTCAATGAATAAACTTGAAAAGTAAATGTCAAATACCATTTACTTTTCGTTATTTTAATCATATTTAATTCAAACCGTAATTGACACAAAAAATATTACTAAGCGCGACATCTTCTGGAAAAATTTTCAAAGTTCCATTTGTAATGCCCTTATAAATTAATTAAACAAAAACTTGCAACAATATTTTTGATTTTTCCAAAATATTTGAAAAATTAAATTTAAAAAATGATAATAATACATAAATACATCTAGATATTTAAATGTATAAAAAACGAAAGAAAACTAATATTGATAAATAAATAAAAAAAAACTATGTATAAAACAAAAACAATGTATATAATATAGAATTCCGGATGGTCAATCGCCACGTTTTCCAAAGAAACCTACTATACATCAAGATGGTGATATACTGGTAATGGAATGTCTATTGGAAGCGAATCCCGTACCAGTTATTACATGGTACAGAGCAGATCAATTAATAACAGATTCAGATCGTATTAAAATGTCACGTAAACAAACGTCTAAAGACAAATTTTTGTTAACATTAGAAATAAATGGGCCAACACATGATGATGGGGGAAATTATCGTTGCAATGCATTAAACGAATATGGTGAAAGTAATGCCAACATTGCCCTTAATTTCCAAGGTAGATATAAATTCTAATAAAAAACCACATATATATATAAGTATATATATATATATAAAATAAAAAGAAAAATAATTTAAAATAAAATTAAAATTTTACTTTTTTTCATAAAAATAAATAAATAATATGTAATATACACGCATATATGTATAAAGAGAAACGAAACTTAAATTAAATATCTAACATTTTATCATAAAGAAAAGATGTATAATTTATGGGTATTGTATTAAATTTTAATTCTGATTATATTCTAAAGAAAATAATATAAATAGCTTCAAATTCAATCCTTATTAAACTTTTTTCAAACAGTCTGTGAGATTTTTATAAATTGCCTTTACGTTACCAATTGAAATTGAATCTTGCAGCTCTAAACTTCAAGAAAATGGTTGCATGTATGTTTTCGAAAATATGACATTTTTTTGTCGTTATAGTTCAGTCAAGTTTAGATAATGTAGCCTTTTCGGATTTTTGAGACTTACTCTTTCGATTACATTTAATTTACTCGCAACAGTTTTTCTTTTGGTACATTAAGTTCCCACTCAAAAACTGCAGTTTTTTGAAAAATAATCAATTTTTTTTATCAATAAAAGTGCTACCGTTATGGATTTTTATAGTAAATTCTAAATATCAATTGATTTTGAGTTACATTTAAATAAAATTGAATTATTTTACCCCTTAAAGTTTAAGCACTATAAAAAGTATACAATGTATACAAAAATAAAAAATGCATCTATATATATGAACATTTACATATTACCATCTATATATATGTATGAACATATACAAGAACCTAATCAAAAAATACTTTCATAATATTATCATTGATATATATTGTGACATATGCTGACATTTGTTAACAAAACAAAAGACGGTATATACATAATTTAATTCGAAAAACAAAATAAATAAATATCGTGCAAATAAATATTTTTTGAATTTTAAATTATTTATAACTTAATTTTAAAATTTCCTGGAAATTACAAAAATATATCCTTTATAAATACATATATATATATATGAAAAAAAAACGAAGAAACAATTAAAACTTAAACAAATGAAAAACAAAAATCAAAAACAATCTCAATCATATTCAACAAAATTAAACGAAATATACATATATAAATTGTAATAAAATAATTTCAAATAATATATTTCTTTATAAAAATAATACTTGCAATTAATATAACCGCTAATACATATAGTTGCTAAAACAAAAATTAAATATAAATAAGAAACCAAAAAAATGACAAATAAATTAATATATGATATTTATGAAAAATTCTCAATTATTGATTTTAACAACAAATTAATATGTATATATGTATATAAATAAATATACATATATTTGTATATATACTTAATAATATTCACCAAAGTTAATTTAATTTAAAAATCAATTTAAAAACAAGGAAAGAACAAAAACAAACAAATACAATAATAAATAATATAATTAATTTATTTATCGTTCAAACTCAATCATAAAAATATCAAAAACCAATCATATTTTAATATACATACATAAATTATTTCATATTTTACGTATAACTTTATCAAATCATTAATATTAACAAATCTTATGTCATTATATATTATATATTATATATATACGATAATCATACATACATTGATATAATTTTTTAAGTTTAAAAGTTAAACTTTCTTAACATACAGTAAAAATGCAGTAGTTTTCGTGCAATTTTACACATAAATATGTTTTTTGACATAAGATACGCATTAAAACAATGATTTACTAGTGAATTTTTCTTGAAATACATATGTAAAATTGAATATTGTCATTTTGTTCATTCAAAATTTTTAATTTAACTTTAAGTCGAAAAGATGCCAAGAGCAAAATGCCAGAATTCATATAGAATACACATATTTAAGTGGGACTGCTCAAAATTAAGCGACATTACCGTTACGAATTTAGCCGCCGTCGATAAAATAGCCTAAATTCCTATTTTAGCGTTGGTAGTTTTTTGACATTATCTGTTTTCATGTGTATGTAACATCATATGTAAAATACTGTACAATTGAATTTGCCTATCCGCTCTTGTACTCAGTTAACAATGGAAATCGTTCACCTTTTCTGCTTACAGCTGTTCTGTTCTCACAGTAAATACAACATACTTTCCAACTTACTCCTAAATTTTCCATATATGTATAATATGTTCGTCGTATTTTTATTTTGTGTTATTTGCATTTTTACTTCTCATAATTTTTTAATATTTTAGTTTTTTTAAATGTATAAATTAATACCTATATTCCATTTATATTAATAGTTTATGAATTAGTTTATGAAAATTGAGTTATACATTAAAAATGACAATATTCTGATATATTATTTCACGACAATAAATTGTTTTAAAAATCATTAGTTATTTCAATTTTATTTGCTAATTATTATTAAATGAAGCAAATCTAAGTGAAATAAAAGTGTTACAGTATATGAATACTTACGATATTATATTGCCTTAAAATACAATGCCATAAAATAAAATTCAAATAAGTATTTCTAAACGCTTTTTGCTTATTTTAACCCGTTGGCGATTATTCGATCACTGGTACTGCATGGCATTTTTTTGGTCGAAAGATATGGATCACCAATGATCTATGCCTTTCTTGGACATAGCTCGCAATATTACGGTGATTATCAGACGCTAACGCGTTGAAGAAAAAAATACATACATATGTAAATACATATTACAATTTTTTTTGCACTCATCAAATTTTATAAGAAACTTTCTCTTTTCTTTAATTTTCTCTTCCTTTTGTGTTCTTTCTGAGAAGATAATAATATCTACATACATACATATATTTATTCCAGTAAAATTATTAAATTTTGTTCCCAATTTTGATAAAACAAACAAAAAAAAAGTAATTTTAATTTGTTGGTTATTAATTTTTGTTTCTTTCTGTATTATTTATTAATTAACAATAATTAATAAATTAAAAAAAACAGCACCCGATGAAAGCAATGGTTTTGCACCATCATTTACCGAAAAACCAAAAATAATTCCAAACGAATCTGGTACATTAATTACGATGAAATGTAGATGTAAGGCTAAACCCGAACCGACTGTAACCTGGTATAGAGGACAAGATGTTGTAGAAGAATCAAAAAGAATAAAAATAAAATCGACTTCAGTTGCTGAAGACTTATATGAACTAACATTAGAAATTAAAGTGAGTAATTTAATTTTCAACTTTTGTCAAATTTTCAGTAATTGCATCGTAAGAAAATTACCGTAATGTTAAATAATAATTAGAAATATGTTATTCTCATACACGTATTCATTGCATATTGTCAAATCACTCGACTAGTTAGGCTTTACATTTATATGCGTTATATTGTTCTTCAATTTATAGTTCTACTTAATTAAAATTTAATCTAAAAAAAAAAAAAATTTGCACAATTTTTTTTCTTGTAGTATAGCATTTTTTGAAACCTTAAAACAATGAACGAAGCCTGAAAGTTTTTTTTAAATCAATTTTTTAATGTTTTAATAGCACAAAACTTTAAGAATGTAAGCACTAGTAAAGTAGAAAAAAATTGAATTGAACTGTTTCTAATTAAAAATTGCAAAAACGTTGATCTTGTGGGCGTTTTATGATGTTAAAAAGGACCCTCTATGGCTTCCATAAGAATACGTGTAAATTCGTCAGCTGCGAACTGTTGTTCTTTCTAAGCCTGTACTTCTTTAAGCCGTATATAATACACAAATTACATTATAAATTTCTGTCAGGAGTGATATACATACATACACAACGAGAAAATTATAATATTTTTTTTTGTATTCAAATTTTATTAGTACTTTAAAAATTTAATTTTTTCATTCAACATAGGACCCTGGTGCACCAGATGGTGGTACCTATAGGTGTCATGTACAAAACGAATTTGGTGAATCAAATGCAAATCTTAATCTTAATATTGAAGCTGAACCTGAACCAGAAGGCGAAGGTCCAACATTTGTTGAAAAACCCAGAATTGTATCTGAGAATAATGGACAATTAGTAATTATGGAATGTAAAGTAAAAGCAGATCCTAAACCTGAAATATTATGGACGAGAAACGGTGAAGTTGTTAAAGAAACAAATAAAATTAAAATGTCTATTGAAGAGAGAGGTGATATTTATTATATTAAATTAGAATTGACCGATCCACAATTGGAAGATTCTGGATTATATAAATGTAATATAAAAAATACTTTAGGTGAATTAAATGCAAACCTTACACTTAATATTGAAAGTAAGTATCAATTTATAAAATGTTTTTTTTTTCAATTACAATATTTTACATGCTCACAGATTTTTGTTACATTTTCATAATTCCCATCTATGCAAAATTTATTATTATTAATATTCACAAAATCTAATATATTTCTAATTTTTATTATGTTTTTTTCACTTCTTAATTTTAGTTGTTCCTGTAATTAAAGATAAGCCAAAAATAATTAAAATAATTAAGAAACGTACAGTTGTTATTGAATGTACGGTACAATCTAAATTTGAACCTGAATGTACGTGGTTCAAAGAAGAAACAGCTATTAAAGAAACAAAACGGCATCATGTGCATATTAAACAAAGTAAAGATGGTGAATTTAATGTACAGTTAGAAATAAATGAAGTTGAAGAAATTGATAAGGGTGCCTATAAATTAACAGCTAGAAATGAAAAAGGTGAAGCCGTTTCACAGACTGTACATTTAACAGATATACCAGAAGAAGAAAAGAAACCCGGAAAGCCAGAAATTATTAGAAAATTAGTCGATCAAAAAATTGATATTGAAAAAACTTTTGAATTACTAGCTGCATTAAAACAATCAGATAAATCATGTAAAATAACTTGGTATAAAGATACAACGATAGTTAAAGAAACAAAAGATATCACAACAACATTTGATGGTACAACAGCACGATTAACGTTCAGTTCATCAAAAGTTGAACATAGCGGTACATATAAAGTTATATTCCAAAATGAAGTTGGTAAAGATGAATCATCAGCGAAGATAATTGTTGAAAAGAAGACCGAAAAACAGAAGAAAGAGGAGGAAGAAGAAAAGAAGAAACAAAAGCAAGAAGAGGCTGAAAAAAGAAAGGTACAAATTGAAGAAGAAAAAAAAATTTTAGAACAGGAAAAAATTAAACAAAAAGTAAAAGCTAAAAAACAGGAGACAATTAGAGAACAAACAAAAATTAAAGGGCAGGAAAGAATTAAAGAGCAGGGAGAAATTAAAGAGCAAGAAAAAATTAAAATGCAAGAAAAAGTAGAAGAACAGGAAATAAAAATTATAGAACAGGAAATAAAAATTGAAGAACAGGAAAAAAATGTAGAGCAGGAAAAAATTAAAGTTCAGGAAAATGTTCAAAATCAAAATAGTGTAAAGCAAATAGAAGAAGACAAACAAACACCGAAAATTGTAGTTAAAAAGAAAAAATTAGAAGAGCAAACAGGTCCAACAAAAGTTATTTTTGATGTAAAATTAAAACCTACAAAGAAAAAGGAAAAAGAGGAGGTATTTTTAAGTAGTTTCTGTGAAAAAAAGGGTTTAATTCAATTTTTACTTTAATTTTTCTTTTAAATTTTAATCTATCACTTTCTTTTATTATAGATGTGAAAATGTTTTAATTTGAACTTCGGAAAAAAGGCGAAAAAGCCAAAGACATTAACAATATTTGAAAATAAATATTTATTCATAATTTTCTCTTGATGTAAATCATCTACGTATGCTTATATTTACGAATCTTTGTTCAAATAAAGTTCTAGTAAATGAAATAATTTTTACGAAACAATGAAGAACTACTGATTTTTAAAAATGAGTAAAAAATGTTTTTCAAGTAAAAATTAATATATAACTTCAAGTTTTAAAACATTAAAATTTATAGTTATTTTCTTTTTTTTGTGCTCTGAATATTGTTAAAATTAGTCTCACTAATATATTAGAATAAATACCTTAATGCACACCGAATATCAATTTGACCTATTAGCAATTAAAGTTACGAGTATATTGTTGAAAAGATCGGCTTGACTTTAGATTTTTATTTTTTGGAAAAATTTATGTACATTTTAAACTATATTTTAGTTTTCAAGTATTGTTAATGTTCATTGTAGGTAAATATGACGACGTTCATACATATTTGAACGTTATATACGTTATTTGTTTTTCTTTTATTAGAGGTGAACAATATTAATATTTTTGCTCTTCATTAGACGTGAGTTTATATTCAATTTTAATATTTATACTTACATTATTTTTAAATAGAAGTGAATTTAGTTTTTAGTTTCCTAATTTTAATTAATATATATCATAAAATTCATAGACAACATCAAATTCGTAATGTAGGCAGAAGCAATATTCTTTAACGAAATTGAAAATTATATTAGTAAAGTTATTAAAAAAGAACAACTATATTCAATTTTAAAACCCCTGAAAAAATTGGTATATATATATATATATATAATTTCTTTACTTTATTTATTTTTTGTTTCAAACCTTTGTGTATACATACATTCTATTCTGATTACCCTCTTAAAAATTATAAACTTAAAACTTCAAATGCACACTATGGCTAAAACACTTTTTTCTATTAAAATATTGTCATCACTTTTTGTAATTATTACACACATTGTAAATGTTATATGTGAACATCGTTTTTACAACATATTACAAAAATCTGCGTAATGTAAAAATTATTATATGTAATAAAAAAGGCCGAAGAAGAAGAAGAGAAAAAGCAAGAAGCAGAAACAAAACAGGTCGAAGAAAAAAAGAAAGAAGAAGAAAAGAAGAAGGTCGAAGAAAAAAAGAAAGAAGAAGAAAAGAAAAAGGTTGAAGAGAAAAAGAAAGAAGAAGAAAAGAAAAAGGTTGAAGAGCAAAAGAAAGAAGAAGAAAAGAAAAAAGTTGAAGAACAAAAGAAAGAAGAAGAAAAGAAAAAAGTGGAAGAAAAGAAAAAGGTTGAAGAACAAAAGAAAGAAGAAGAAAAGAAAAAGAAAGAAGAACAAAAGAAAGAAGAAGAAAAGAAAAAAGTTGAAGAACAAAAGAAAGAAGAAGAAAAGAAGAAAGTTGAAGAACAGAAAAAAGAAGAGGAAAAGAAAAAAGTTGAAGAACAAAAGAAAGTAGAAGAAAAGAAAAAGGTTGAAGAACAAAAGAAAGAGGAAGAAAAGAAAAAGGTAGAAGAAAAGAAAAAGGTTGAAGAACAAAAGAAAGAAGAAGAAAAGAAAAAAGTAGAAGAAAAGAAAAAGGTTGAAGAACAAAAGAAAGAAGAAGAAAAGAAAAAAGTAGAAGAAAAGAAAAAGATTGAAGAACAAAAGAAAGAAGAAGAAAAGAAGAAATTAGAAAAGAAGCCAGCTGATAAAAAGGGGGTAGAGGGACCCAAAGAGGTAAGAAACCCACAGGCAAAAAAATATTAAATCCAAATCAACAAATCAGAAATGTTGTAAAAATGCAAATCAAATGCGAATGCAATATAATACAAAATTATCAAGCAACAAACTCTTTAATATTTTGCATCAAGCTTATATATTTTACTCATACATATTTCGTTATAAAAGTATATTTTTGTAATGTTGTGCTTACAAATATCATAAAATAACCAAAAAATTTCCGTATATACAACTAGATACTGAAAAGAGAAAAAACAAAAAAACACAAGGATTACTTTTTAATTTTTTCTCTTTAATCATCTTCATGTATCATAACTATTCCTTTATATTTTTATTCTTCTATAGACCCATAAGCATATAAAAAAGAGCTTCATTTGTGCCATAGTATTCTTACTTTACAATGGTATTCTTTTTTTATATATATATTTTTTTGTTTGCGTGTGACTCTATGTATATTTGTACAAACTTTATTATTATTTGTATATATTATGATTTTACCTTACCCTCCTCATACATTTCTTTCACGATTTCTATTTCTGTTTTTATCAAGTACTTACATATGTATACAATTTCATCTGTTATATGCATTTTTTTTTACATTTAATTTGCTTTTACTTGTGCTAATACATATTTCATAAATTTTTGTAGAACATTGTAATATTTTTAAATTCTCATAATCATATTTTACATAGAATTGGAAGTTACAACTAGGTAAATTGTTTCACATAGAATTGTAAAACGATTTACAGGAAATACTCTTGTACTAAATTCTATGCAAATTGGTAGGTAAATTTTAACTCTACCTCGTAACTGAGGTTAACATTATATTATTACACAATTCAACAATTAGAACTCAAAAGCTGGGTTGTGTATTCTAAAAGTATTTCACTAATTTGAATGCCTAGAGAATTAAGTAAAAAAAGCTAGTACGATGTTAATTAATAGTGGGCAACATAACAGATATTACTTGTAAACTCTTGCACCACCTCAAGCGGCTTTAAATACTTGATGTGAATAATCTCTACTTATGAAATAATAAAAACTAAACAATATACATAGTTCTTGCTGGATGACGTGAGCATGAATAGTGCAAGTGATTATTCAACAAATTGCACATATTATTTCTTTAATTTTAAATTATTTTTCAAATTGCATCTTAATTACATTATTTAGTTTGGTTTTATATTATAAGATTTTGCAAAATATTCCTTTCAATTAATTAAAAAAAATATTATATGTACCACTTTATTTACATATGTAAATTCTATTCTAATTGCCGTCTTAAACAAACAAAACACAAATTTAAAATTACAAACAATAACACTATAACTAAAAACTTCTTCCTCTTAAAATTGTCATCACTATTTCGTTATTATTTCACACAATATTTTATGAAAACCTACGTTATATGAAAATTATGATATTAATTGAAAAAGGCCAAAGAAGATGAAGAAGTTGGAGAAGATGAAGAAGATGGTGGAGAAGATGAAGGAGGAGAAGAAACAAAACATATGGGAGGAAAGAAGAGTGCTGAAGAAAAAAGCAAAGAAAAAGACAAAGAGGCAGAAGGGAAGAGAAATATTGAAGAACAAAAGAAAGAAGAAGAGAAGAAGAAGGCAGAAGGAAAGAATAACTTTGAAGAACAAAATGAAGAAGAAGAAAAAAAGAAGAGTGATAGGGTTGAAGGAAGGAAAAGTGTTGAACAACAAAAGGAAGAAGATGAAAAGATTAACAATGGGAAAATTGAAGGAAAGAAAAGTGTTGAAGAACAACAGAAAGCAGAAAAAAAGAAGACGGCGGAGGGAGTTGAAGGAAAGAAAAGTCTTGAAGAACAACAGAAAGAAGAAAAAAAGAAGAAGGCGGAGGGAGTTGAAGGAAAGAAAAGTGTTGAAGAACAACAGAAAGAAGAAAAAAAGAAGATGTCTGGAGAATTTGAAGAAAAGAAAAGTAGTGAAGAACAACAGAAAGAAGAAGAAAAGAAGAAAGTTGAAGGGGTTGAAGGAACAAAATGTGTTGAAGAACAACAAAAAAAAGAAGAAAAGAGAAAGTCTGGGGCGGTTGAAGAAAAGAGAAGTGTTGAAGAACAACAAAAAGAAGAACAAAGTAAAAAATCTGGGGGAGTTGACGGAAAGAAAAGCATTGAAGAACTAAAAAAAGGAGAAGAAAAGAAGAAGACTGAGAAGGTCCAAGGAACGGAAAGCGTGGAAGAACAAACGGCTGAAAAAGAAAAGAACAAAGCTGAAAAGCATGAAGCGAAAAAAACTGTTGAAGAAGAAAACGAAGAAGAAAAAAAGAAGGCTGAGAGTAGTGGGAAAAAGGATAGTGTTGAAGACCAACCAGAAGAAGAGGAGAAGGAAAAGGTAGAAGAAGAAAAAACGCAAGAAGAAAAACAAAAAATGGAAGAAGAAGAAAAAAAACGAGGTGATAAAAAGGAAGTAGAGGGACCTGAAGAGGTAAGAAACAAACAACAAAAAAAAGTTATATATAAATCAACGAATCAGAAATGTTGTAAAAACTATAAACATAAAAATGCAACTCGAATGCGAATGCAATGTAACGCAAAACAACTAAACGGAGTCTCTCACACACTCTGTCAATTTGCATCAAACTTATATATAATACTCATATATAAGTTAGTTTTTTAGGGAGATTTATATCAGCAATCATACTGTTTATCTCTGTTTTAAATAAAATATATATATATATATATATATATATATATATATATATATATATATATATATATATTATGTTACATAAGTAGTATTTAATAAGCATTTGTGAAATGTTATTGTGTGTATTAAATTATTTAGTAATTCCGATTCAAAAAAGATCAAATATTACATAAATCTATGAAAATAATACACAACTAGAAAGTCAAAAAAACAAACAAAAAATTTAAAAACACACAAGGATTGCTTTCGACTTTTTCATCTTTGATCATATTCTCATGTTTATTGTAGTCATAATTATATCTTCTTACTCATATATACATACAAAGAACTTTAATTTATTGTGCTATGATATTATACTTTTAATGGTACCAAATATATGTATATATGTAACAATGCATATATTTATGTATACATGTATGTCTGCTTTTATTGTTATTTGCTTTTCCTTTCTATACCTTTTTTTCTCTTTTTCCGTTTTCCTTGCATAAATACCTGTGTATATAATTTTTAACATCATTTATTTTTATTTAATTTAAGCTAATAATATATTCATAAATTTTTGTAGAGCATTGTCATATTTTCGAAAATACCCTGACCTCAGAATTGCAGTAATACGGTATTAAAATGTTCATACACAATTCAGCAATTAAAACTAATAAGCTGAAATATGTATTAACACTGCTACAATTTTGAAATCCGAGACATATTTTTAAGATATTTGAAACGGTATTTACTAAAGTGCAAATTAGTCTACAGATAAAAATTACTAAATTCAGATATTTTAATTTAATTGCTGAATAAAGTTAACCTAACAATAGAATTGCACTTTGGTAGATGTTTTTTGTTGTTTTCTTTTTTTGGTTTCTATAATTTTTACATATTTTATCTATTGACATTAATTGTAGACAGATATAGTTCTCCAGTTTACAAATATACAATAACATAGAACTCATAAAGAGAGAAAATTACATGGAATTTACAAATAATTTTGTACAATATTTTGTTTTTGTTTTGTAAAAACAAAATTGTTAAATTCGAGCATCCTGACTTGACTTCAGAATTGCGATAATGCTGAATAACTATGCATTCAGTACTTTTACAATTCAGTGAAAATGTATAATATGATAGTTGATAGAATAATACAAAGTGCATAATATTAGTATATAATATAATAGTATTTCACTAATATCAGTGGACAATTATGACATAGCAGAGGAAGCTTACTTTTTGTAAGTAATCTTTCTTAGGGAAAACAAAAAATAATATAATTTTTGATTAATGACATTAAGTGATTCAACATATTGCTTTATTTCTTTCATTTTTCATTAAATTTCATATTTAACTTTCAAATTACGCACATCTAAATTACATATAGTTTGTTTTTATATTAAAATTTTCTGCAAAATGTTTGAATATATCTTTATCTTTCGTTATACTGTTTTATAATTGTTGGTATTTCACTTTTATTTATATGTATTATGTTTTCTGTATGATATTTTACAAATTTATCTCTTTTTTTTGTATACATATTTACTTTACAACTTTTTAACTTTATTCCAACTTGTGTCTTTAAATCAATTTAAATAATTTTATACAAGATATATTTACATATATACACAAAATATTAAAACAAAACAAAAACATATCAAACTTTTATAGGACAAACAAGAAAAACCTGTTGAAAATGGAACCATTGAAGAACCAAAGGTACAAGAAAAAATACAAATTCAAAATAAATATTTAAACTAATACTTATAAGTATTAACTATATACTAAAATACATAAGACTAATGACAATATAAAATAATACATATATATTTTTACTAACAATTATTGTTAATAAAAATATGTATACATTACATACAAGCAAAAAAACAAGGTATTCCTCCAGAATCTAAAGCGAGTAAAATAATTTAAATATGTATATTAACAGTTGTAAATTTAATGTTAGATTTACATTTTACTAAAACCTCTATTATATCGGCAGCTTCAAAATTGTAGAAATCATGAAACAAAATAATAAAGGTTTTTTTTGGTTTTGAGGGGCATATATTTATCTTAGGAATACTGTGTATTATAAATAAACTATAAACTACACGTTAAATCTAAAATTTAGATATTAAACTAAAAATTAAATGTTATTTAAATGTAAAAATGTAATATAAGTGTATAATTTTTATAATTATTAACACGATAATTTATTTGATTTCTGCTTACCTGTACATACAATCTAAGCAAATGTAAATAATATTATATCAAAAAAAATTTCAATATTTCAATATTGTAAGAGTTTATTCCTATATAATTTGTACTCGGTAATTTCTAATTACTCTGATTCTTTTAATATTACATATTTTATAAATGTGTTAAACATAAAATCTAAGTTGTTACAAATAAATTCTAATAAGTTTTTATATATCGAATTATTAGTAAAATTTTTATTTAAATTTTAAATTTAATTAAGATTTTTCGCTATTAATCCTGCTTTAAAATATTTTATATATATTATTTTTTTTATTTTATTTAGGCTTTTTTCTTTAATACGAATATGTATTATATTTACCCTTATTTTTTTGTTATAATTTTTATTGAATTTAATTTGATTTTTTTTTTATTTTTTTATTTTTTTTTTGTGGAACAGAAATTACTAAAGGATGAACCAGATCTTAAGAAAGTTGATCGCAAGGTATATATTATATGAAATATATAAAAAATATAATAAAATAATATAATGCGATAATTCAATATACAAATATATAAAAAAATAGTAATAAAATGAGGAATTTACTTCATCCGAACAAATCTATATATGAATGAAAAAATTATTAACTATAACTAAATAAAGTGAATACTACTTAAATTGAAAAGTTCATTATATATAAAAGGAGTTCGGATAAATGGAGTTTATTTAATTTTTTTATATATATTTTGAAAATATTAATGTAAGAATTACATATATTAAATTACACAATATCACAATTAATACATATTTTACATAAAATTACAATATTATATTTTAGTCAATTTTGAAGGTTGTACTGAATACGAAGATAATTTTTGATAAAATAGTAAAACCTTTAAAATGTTAAATTTACCGAAATTTTAATTTCAAATCAGCAAAATATTTCAAAAGTTTTATAAATGAAATATTGTAAAACTTTGAATATTATAGTTTTATCAATAAATTTTATTTTATAGATTTGATATATTCTGAATTAATACAAGAATTTAAATTCGTTAATTGAAAAATACGTAAATAAATAAATTACTTTGAGTTAAATACAATAGATTTTTTAGTATAACCTTCTTCATCCTCTTTTTCATTTCTATTATTAAGATTTTATTGTTTCATTACTTTAATTTTTTTTATTCAAAAAAATCACAACTCAATACGATATTACACACAAACAATGAACTCAACTACAATGAACAAATTACAACAAACTACACTTATAAATTATTTTATATATCTACTGGGGTGTTACCTGAAAATTGAATATCTTTTTCATCTTTAATTTGAAATATCTTTTGTATATAAATTTTCTTGATTATATAAATAATTTTCACAAACAAAACTTTGGAAAACAATTTTCATTTTGGATCATATTAATTATTATTATAAAGGGCTCGAAAACGCCCAGCGAAATTGAATCAGAACCTGCACCAGATGAGGTAAAATTGCGCCCTAAAATAACATTTCATTAATATTATACATATTTTTTATATAATATGTAATATGTATTTATATTTCATACAAATATTACATTGTTATATATTTAGAAGTATAAAGAAAGCTTTTTATTTAAAAATGTGCATACTTACATAATCAGCTGTGTTCTGTTTATATGAATATTTACATTCTGCATAATTAGGAGATTTACGATTTTACAATTCAATTTTTAGTATGGATATCGGAGTAAAATATTCAATCAAGTACTGGAAATCAAGTTAACAATCAAATAAGACATAGTGAAATTCCTGTTTGGTTACTAACCGAACTGATAGTTACCATGATATGTCGCACTAGCTATTATGGATCTTCACATTGTGTAGATTCATCAAAATGTATATGTATTGAATTTCTCAAAATATCATTGCATAAGACTTAGGTCTTGTTGGAGATTCACGTTGAATGTCTTTTAAAAATGCTTTCTTTGATGCCCCCTCCCCCCAAGAAGAGCCTCATGATTTAAAATTGCTTGCTATTGCCCCAGTGCTGTGTAGGTATGCTTCCAAACTAAAAGACCTACTATGTAGGTAAAAGAACCGTTTAGTGACAACTTCATACATTTTCATTTCTATCAGTTTGGGAGTTTTATTTGAATGAGCACACAAATTTTATTTTCAATTTATCCAATTATCCAATTGTTTCAGCCGTTGTCATTGTATTCACATAAATAATTTCTAGACTGTCTGTTTGACTTATTGATTTTAAATTTAAATTACCTTGCATTTAATAAACATTTTTGTCAAAGTAAAAATATAAAATCTCTGTATGTACAATGTATTTTCAAAAATTTTAAAAATAAATGGAACACAAACACGAATCGTATCAAAAATTTTTGCTATAAAATGCTTAACGTTATATTCGAAATAATGAATGTACAATGTTGCTTAGAATTTTATTTGGATTAACAACTAGCAAATACACAAATTTTTAACGTCAATTTGATTATGTTTTTTTAATAAAGATCGCCCGTAATGTTCGCGAATTGACAAGTTAAAAAGTTGCCGTTGTACGGCAATTGCTGTGGATTTGACTATCTAATTTCAAGCGTGTAATGTTAGAACTAAAAAATATAAATTTATTTAAGGTTACTTCGACAACCAATCAAATTGACGTTAAATTGCATTTAGGTTTACGATGCATATAATTAGTATACTTATGCTTCTATATTTTTTTAATTTACTAATAGCTATCAATACAATATACTTTTACATAATTAAACTATAAATAAATTAATTTTTAATATTAAAATTTTATTATTTTGACAAATATCAACGTATACATTTTTTTTTAAAAACATGCACTTTATAGTTTTATTAACTTTTATTTAATTGAATCTTTTGTACATTTTGAAAAAAAATATTCTTGTGTGATATGATATTTTATCCTCTATTTTTATCATCCCCTGTATCTTTTTTTTATTTTTCAAAAACTATAGTTTTTTCTCTTTCTTGGTTTTCATATTGACAAATACATATAAAATTCAAAAAATTTGTAATAAACTGTTACAAATAGACTGCTTAAAATTCTATCATATTGTATATTTATACTTATAAATAACCTATATTTTAACTAAAATTGTTTTGAATGAATAAATTAAATTTAAAGGAAGTAACAGCAATTAAGGAACAAAGTAAAATAGAAGCACAACGCAAACAATCGGTAACGCAATTACAAGTCGTCGAAGAAAAAACTAGTGTATCGCGGAAATCCTCAGTAATTGCTAGTCAAATAAGTGAAGCAACTACACAAATAGTTGAACAACAAACTGTTGCTTCAGTTACAACAGAAATGAAAGGCGTTGCTGCCTTACGTAAACAATCAATTGTTGTCGAAAAGCAACAAGATAGAAAATTAAGCATTGAACAAATTAGAAAAACTTCTCTTAAGGTGAGAACATATATGGTTTTACTTTCATATCAACACGTTTTGTACATAAAGTGACATAAATATTAGTTTTAAAAGAAAAACAAAACAAAATGTCAAAATTTTTTTCCAATTTTTATATTAAATATTAATTCTTCCATAATAGACGGTAAAACTTGTATAAGAATGACTTTTTTATATTGCCACTGGGATAAGAACGTCGATATTTGATAACATTTTTTAATATTTCATTTTAAGAAAACTTTTATGGACTTTGGTAAATTTTGGAGTTTCCTGAGAGAAAAAATACTAGGTGTCTGATAAATATTACAGTTTAAGTCAAATTTTAAACTTATTTTGGCACATGCTTGTTATATAGGAATTCTGAACAGTTACAAAGCTTTTTGAGTTTGACATTTTGGATCAGGGCCATCATCTACATTATGATAAGAGTATACAAAATATTTATTCGAATTTATAGTGCATTTTAGTTTTGCATATTTTACTAATAAAAATTAAATTACTCTTAAAATAACTAAATTGGTTTTAAAATTAGTAGCATAAAAATTCGTATGTACTTAATTTTTTAGTAGAAATTTTATATTTTAATATACAGTTATTCATGAATTGTGTGAAAGAATTGTTTTGTTCAAGAAAATTATTTTTAACTATTTTTTGTGTCAAAAAATTATTAATCAAAATATTTTTCATTGTTTTAATATAATAATTTATGTGGTCGAATATTTGTTATTGTGTCATCTGTATTCCATCAAAATGAAAAAATTATGTTTTGTGTGAACACCAGGTTGAAGGAAGCGATTCAAGACGATCATCTATTTTGGATAAACAAGCAATGAAGGTACGCTTTTTTATTTTTTTAATTTGTTCTTTTCAATTTATTTGAAAAACTTTTGTTTCAAAGCATTCAGGACAAACCAAACAAAAATTTATTTTTTTTGTTTTGTTGTTCTGAATTATTTCAATAAAAATTAATTCGATTTAATATTTTAATTAATAAAATATTAGTAATATCGATCGAAGATGTTTGAATCAAAACGTGTTATATTTAATTAGTTCGAAGAAGTAAAATTTAATCATTTAATATTTATTTTATTCTTTTAATTTTGATGAAAAAAAATGTAACTTGTTACTCTTTTAACTTTTTTATATATTTTAATCTATTAATTTGTATATTTTTGTAATTTTTATTTTTTTACCCTGAAACCCTTATATTATTTTTGTTTTTATCTTCCAAACATGAATTTTTTGGATTCGAAAATCAAAATTTTAAAACATAATTTTAACTTTTGCAATTCAATTACATACGTATATTTTGTAAAATATTTATTTCTTTATTTTTAATATAAAACACAAAAATTTGTGATAAAAATAAAAAAAAAAACAAATTACATTAATATTTTTTGGTTCATTTTTACTTTTTAATTGACTCATTTAATCTATAACAAAACAACAATAATACAAAAATTATACTTAACCGTTATAAACTTAATATATATATTAATATATAAAAACATAAAAACAAAACGAAAAACTATATTTGTATTCAATAACTGAAAACAAACTTAATTTTTTATACAATATTACTTATATTTAACAAATTCAAAAAATAAAATGTAAAAATATATGACTTAAAAATAAAATTTTAAAATAATATAAAAATAAAATATATATACCCATAGCCTGGTGAAATAGAAAATAAGAAATTAAGTGCAAATAAAGCACCATTAGAAATTAAAGAAGAAATTCCAAAATTAAAATCAGCTGAAGGACGTAGAATAATCCCGAAGGTGAGAAATTCAAAACAAAGCCATAAATTTGATAATATAAAGAAACTGCGGACACTAAAATTCCTTATGGCCTTCTTAATAAAAACTTTTTTATGTTTACTATATCTCTTTCTTTCTCTCTTTTTCTATTATCTCTATTTAAGCTTAGTTTTTTTTTCACTTTCTGTCAAAATTTCATTTGACAGAAGGTGAATGATTTTTCGAACACATAATTTTGACATTTAATAGTGTATAAAATACCATTGCAATTCTATAAATACTTTTATATCAATTATTGTAAAGTACAAAGTAAATTTCTAATTTTTATAAGTGAATAATATTAAATAAATGTCAATAAAAAAATTTCAGCTATTTTAATAATTGATTTGAAATATATAAAAAAAGTAAATAATGTTGGTTGGAGTATGATAGCACATGTATTTCGGCATTTAATCAAATTAATTTGTTACTATTAAAGTAAAATTGTTAATAATTTGACATTTCAAAGTTTATTATTTGTACCAAAAAATTCTTTTTAGACTTTTCCAAAAAAATTAAAAAAGTGCTTAGTAGTTTCACTCTGTCAGTCTGTCTGTCCGTATGCATGCTAACAACACTTCTACACCCTTAAAGATAGAACTTATTTCGGCAGAAGAAAATTTTTACCTATTTCCCCCCCTCAATAAGAGTTATTGCTCCTCAAACTTCTAAAAATGCAATTTTTCAACTCCTAATTGTAGCGAAACCATAAGTATTTTTCAAGTTTTACAAACGCGGAAAAGTTGAAGGCCGGCTTCTTCTACCTTGACAAATGATATATTAGTTCATTTCGTTAAAAAAAATTTTTTTGCCATCTCAATCTTCTCTCAAGTTATCGCCTCTTGAAATTTGTAAAATTTGAATTTATTTAAACCTTATATTTCCGAAACTGTAGAATATCTAAAAATACAGAAAGCTAACGGTAAATGCTATATCATCAAAAAATATAATTATTTTTCTATCTCATGTAAACAACCCTTAAATTCGAGCATTATCTTACGCGTCTTTAAATTTTTTTTTTGTATTATGTATTTCAAAGACTGCATACAATGCTCATTTAAAGGTATGCAATCTTTGAAATATATTCGTACATGAATAAACGTAATTTTAATAATAGTTGCTACGTATTGGACATGGTTGACCAACCATTTAAAAACCATTGGTTTGATCCAACTTTGTTGTTGGAATTAATTAAAGGGAGTTTAAGGAAAGAGATCACTGCTTCTATTCTTTAATTTCTGCTAGTATAAAGAAAAACATCTGGTTTTTTCTTTTTATCTATTCTTGAAACTTTTCCTATTTAATATTATTTTCTTTTAGCTTCTAAATATATGTATGTAATTCCAAGTTTCTTGTCTTTTGTATCTTATCAATGTTATCGTACATAACTTAAAATTTAATGTATTCAGCTTTAAGTGTTGATGATGCCAAAAAAAACCGTTAATGAAAAGAAGTTTGTTACAAGTTTGTTTTATAAAATAAATTAATTTTTAATTTTTATAATAAAAAATAATAAATAATATAATAACATATTATAATATTGCTGAATTATTTAAATCGCATTTCGCGGCATTTAATATAGCCTCTAATTAACTGTTTTGTTTGCTCTTACTAAAAAATTATTTTATTGCATGCCTGTCAATCAATGTGTAATAATAAAAAAAATAAAAGCAGTACGTAATAACATGTACGATATTAGAAGGAAGGCTGTTAACCAGTGCTGCTAAATAGATAAGCCAAAATATCTTAATTTTTTTTAAAAATAAAATCTTCATATTGAAGATTCGATAAAAAAAATCTTTACGAACCTTTCGAGGTCTTCAATTGAAGTTAAATTGAAAAAAGCTAAAATATGACGATTTCAATTCGACTCAAATCACATATCAAAAAGAAAAATTAATGATATGCGCAATGACAGACGATGTTATAAGCAGTATGCACATTTAGATATTGCGCCAACTCGATTAATATAGAATTAATTTCAGTGGAGAATATCAAAAAATTTCTATCATGAAGATAGCGTTACCATGCGTTGCTTGTTAAATTGACTTTTTGGTCAAAATGTTTTTTTTTTGTCAAATATGGAAAAAAGTGTAAAACATTCCAATTTCAAAAAACTTCAGTAGTATTAAAAAGCTGGATTTTGAAGATATTTTTGAATGTAAAATTGAAAAATTTTAAAAATATAACTAAAAAACCTTCATTTTAAAATTAAATAATCACTTTTGGTAGCGCTGCTGGTAACTAAAAAAAGTGTTACAGCAGACTTTTAGAACAATAGTTTCATTTCAGTTGTTCACAAATATAAAATTAGTATGTTTACAAAGTGAAATTTAATGTACATATATGCGTTAACCATTGAAATTTGAAGTCCTTATTCAAATACAATACTTATGTAGAAACAATGCCCTGCCATGTGCACACTTTACTAATTATTGTGAATGTTCAATGTGTCATATTATTATTTATTCATAAATGTTGATTTATATAATATTTAATTTGTTTTTAACAATATAAATAGTATTCTATAAATAAAAATTTTTAAAATTTTACATATTAAAATTTGTTTTTTTCCTTTTTGTTATATATTTACAATTTGATCAACATTCACCATTGCAACAAACCAACACCACCGCACACATCACAAAATGTCAACGGCACTATACCAAAAAAAAAATTTAATTTATTACATCCTTTTTTAATATATTGGTTTTTTTTTTTTTATTTTGCTTTATTTTTTGTTTAACTAATTTCTTTGTGTTTTCAATCCAAACCTTTCCACATTTATTTATTCACATTTAATTATCTGTGAAATCGATGTCGATAATCGTTAACGACGACAACACTTGAAACTTTTTATGTCATGTTTCAATTTTTTCGTTCCCGCTCATTTTTGGATTGAAAAAAAAATGGGACGCAATCAAACGCTTTTATTCTTTTTACTATAAATTATTTAAAATGTGATATTTAAAAAAAAAACCGAAAAAATTATATTGGTATGGTGATTTTTAATAAATTGCACGTTCGGATATTAGAAGGAAGAAGAAAAAGCAGCTGAAGCTTTACCAAAATTACGTAAAACTTCTGCACCAGAAGAAAAGAAAGAAGAACCAAAAGAAGAGAAAAAGAAAGTCGTTAAAAAGAAGGTTGCTAAGAAGAAGGAATATGAAGAATTACCAGAAATACCAGATTATGAAAGACCGCAACTTGAAAAATTCGAAAAACCACAATTTGCTGCAAGTGATTTCAGCCGTGACTTAGGCATTCCATCTAAAATGGAAAAACCTGTAATTGAAGAACCTAAAAAAGAAAAAGAAGTTATCGAAGCTCCAAAACCAGCCCCAAAGGTATGGATTAAACTGGAAATTAATAAAAAAAATAACATTTACAATACTCTTGTTAAATGTATCAGTAATATATGTATTTACATATGGTTATGTACATTTTTACATTATGTATGTATGTATGTATGTTATTTTCACCTCTATTGGTGTACAGGTTTTTATAAATGTATCGTTATATTGGAATCTTATTCAGGTTACCTGATACATATAATATGATATTGTTAAATTACCGTTGTCTGTTTGATTTCGATATGGGTGCGGTATGTCCACTTTCTTGATTTGCATACCTACATATACATATTCTACTTCATTGTTTATCTTCAAAGAAGCTTACCGTTACATAAAATATGGTAGAGCATTACGATATAAACATGGTAATACATATAACTGGATCAGAATTATAAGAAAGAAAGATTACGCATTTAACAGGAGTATGAAAAAGTAAATTTCAACATATCTACTACATATTAAAATGCAATATAATATTGAAGAAATTTTTTACAAAAACAACAAAATCAAAAAAAATACCTACATATAAAAAATATTTTGTCGGACCTACATGAATCCAATCCAAACATTACCTATAAAGATACAAGATTTATTTTAGAACAAATATCTACCTAAGCTACATAATAGGTTTGATTACTGGGAGGTACCTGTTGAAGCATTATTAATAATTAAAATCATAGTACATTTTTTTTAAATAAGAGGAATGGAAATTAAATCTACCTACTAAATATTTGAAGCTGAAATTCGAGGAAACAAAGCATAATATTTTCATTTGATATGCATTTTTATTTTATTTTTTAATATTATTTTATTTCCCCAAGATTTGGCTACAATCTGTTTTTTTAATTTTTTGATTAAGTTTCTAAAAAGCACACCGTGTGTTTCAACCCAACACTTCCCTGTAGGTTCTCGTATATATTTTATAACACATGCACAGTTATACAAAACCAGAATCTATTTAAACTTTTATAATTTTTAAACAATAAATTAATAAAAATTTTAGGTTATATGTTGCATATTTTATGATACATTTAACTGTATAGTACTCATAAATAACATAATATTTGTAAATTTTTTTCCCCTAAATGTATTGTAAATGGTATAGAAAGAAGCTCCAACTCCACCACAAGAAGAAGCACCAAAAGGTTTGGTAATTGGTAAAGGAAAGAAACCTGAAGATGATAAGAAAAAGGAAAATGTTGATCTTAAACCTGTTATTATTGAACCAGAGGTTTGTGTTTTTTGTTTTTTCCTTTTTATACTTTGTATTATAAAGAATAAATTTAACATGTTGGCTACTTAAATTAAAAGCTGTTGCACTGTTTCAATGCGCTTCTTATAAGAATGCGTTCGTATAAGAACGCAATCCTTATAGGAAATTCGAAGAATTTGTTTAAAGAACGAAACAATTAAGAAAAAAATGTTTATTTAATAGCTAATTTGCACACTCTATTCAAATACAAAAATTCTTGTTATGTAATATATTAAGCATTAAAGATTTTTTATTTAAATATTGTTAATTGATAATTTATTTTTTTTTTCTATTTACATGTATAATTGAATTGTTACCCCTATATATGGCATTATTTTCGTCAATATTAAAAATTATTGTTAATGTGTTTGATTAACAATGTAAAAATTTTATTTAATTTTGCTGGTGTAAATTTTTGTTCGTGAAATTTATTTATTATTGTGTATTTTTGAATCAATTTTTTGGATTTACTAATGTGGATTTTTGGATCAATAACGAAATACATTTTGTTTGAATGAAAATTTATTTTCAAAACAACAGCTTAAACAAGTGGTAAGACATATTTAAATCATATAACTACTATATATTAAAAAAAATATGAAATTTAATTTATAATACATAGTCAAAATGGGAGTTTGGTATCTGTTCATATTGTAAAATGAATAGAAAGGTTTCAGTATCTGTATATAACGAGGTTTAGTAAAAAATATTAAGTTTATTTTTTTCTTTGTTCACTCCTTGGAGGAGCATAGGACTAGTGCATAATATTAATAGAAAGTCATGTTCCAGTTTCATTGCGTCACAGAATTTTTTTAACTAGGTAGCCTGATGTAGTTTTTTTCCTTTATATTGAATATATATCAGGTTATTAAAATTTATTGTTTATTTTTTTTTAGTTTTTTAATATCGAGTAATATCGAGATTTTTTTTTAAGTATTGTATATTAAGCTATAATAATATTGAATATAATTTTATAGTGACCTCACCGGTGTTTTTGAGCCCGAGACCCTTTTATTAAAGAACCGATGCCATAACTACTGCGTCAATGGTCTGTAAATAATTCTGTCCAAATTTTTTCGAATTTCTAATTTTGAATATTACGATTTTGAGGAAAGTCAAATTTTTCTTGATAATAAAGTAGCACCATAACTTTTACGATTTGCAGCAGAACTTCGTATGAAGTTTTACTGAATTTTTTTTCCTACTAATCCCTATATTTTTTTGTTTCCCCCCTAAACCTACTATTGTATTGGCAAAACAAAACATAATCAAAATTTGCATTTAAGATATTAACATTAAAAAAAATTTAATACAAAATAATTTAAAAATTATATCTTTTTTATTTTTCATACTTGAATGTTTTCTTTATATATAATTGATGTATATCCCCGTATACATAACATATACACATGAACTTACATATATTATATATAGGAAGAATCTATAAAACCAATTGCCAAAAATTTACAAAAACCATCTAAATCTGAAATTAATTATAATAAAGTTGATGATGAAAGAAATAAGAACCTCCTACCAATTGATATTGTAAAACAACAAAAACAACAGCCACCAGAATCACAAATAGCACAATCAATAACAAAACCAAAAGAACAAATGAAACAAAGGCGTTCTTCATCATTTTTATTTAATATACCACAGGTAGCTAATGAAAATTTCTTAAAAATTCAATTAAAACCAGTTGAAAAGAAAATTAAGGAACAACCTAAACCACAAAAGGCTGAAATAATGTTAAAGGTATAATGAAAAAGCAATTTCATTATCAAATTCAAACTTCAAATCAAAAGAAATGGACTATCCTTTAAACAAAATGTTTTTGTATCTTTTTCTTTAACTGGTTTATCTAAAATTCTTTTATTTTTTGCTTCTTTCTCATTCTTTTGTTATTCTTTCTTTGAATATGCCTTTTTTTATTAAATACCTGTACTCTTTTATTAAATCTATTTTATAAATGTACCCTGATTTTAAAATTACATTTTAATGCTTAGTATTTACACAATTCAGCTTATAAATTGTAATTGCTGTATTGTGTTGTCAAGCCAATATACATTGATGCTACAATTTTAAAGTTACGGTTATTAAAAATTTTACTATTTTGAACAAAATTATACAAAATTTAAATGAAAAAAAAAGAACAAATTTCGAAGTTTATTTTTTGATTTTAAATTTGATTTTTATTCACTTTTTACTTTATTTTAAAATTTCTTCGATATTTTTATTATACTTTTCGACATTTAAATAGGCTATTTAACTGCTTTAATTATAAAATTTAGCAATTAGTATAGTTGCCAAGCTGAATTGCATATAAAAAAAAACAGTTTTTTATTGCAATTATAATGTCATTATTCTCTTTTTCTTTTTAATTCCCCTATAATATTGCTCTTCTCTTCTTTTTTTCTTTTTGTATCCTAATACGAGTTTTTTTAAGCTAACTTTTTCTCTGATATTGAATTAAAGCATTGGAATTTTATTTTTCAAAATTTTTATTATAAAAAAATGTTTTGTTTTATAATTTGGAATAATTTCGAAATTGTGGTACAAAAGAAAAATTTTATGTTTTTGATTTTTGAAAGAATATCCTTGAAATCTAAATAATACTTGACCTACGAATTGTGTAGCACTAACAAGTCGTGCAAGACTGAATTGTATTTAAATACAATGTTGCTGTGCGTTTCAAGTCAAGGGATGTAAAAATGTAAGGAATGTTTCAAATTCAACAACTAATGTTAAGGCTGAATCTGATTTTATATTTAATCATATTTTGACAGCCATATTGCAACAATGTAAAAGAAATATATTTTTTCAGTAATATATATTCAGTAATATTTATTCAGTAATATATTTTTTTTACATTCCCGAATTCGCAGATGTCAGATTTAATTATTCTGTCAAAAATCTAATGTCATATTTAATTTTTAATAATATAAAACTATTTTTACTTAAGATTAAAATTATTTTTCTACTTATTTTCTTAATTTATTTTTTAAAAACTGAATTGGAAATAATTGTGTGCTGAAAATATATTTTTTTTATTTTTAAACAGAAAATATTTAATAAATAATGAACAAATGGTATATTTTAAATATTTCGCAATTTTTTGTTTTGTTATAATATTTTTATTGTCAAAATATCGCAACATTTTAAAGAATTTTTGCATTATTGCCAAAAAATATACTTGTAATATTTTTAACATACAATACTCTGTATATTGTATGCAGTTTTGATCTTTTTCTCTGTAAGATGCATATTACAAGATAATTTGTTTATAAAGTTAAAAAAATTCAAAATTAATATATCATATATTTTATATGTAAAAACTATTCCCTGATTTCAAAATTGCAGTTATACGATATTAATAAACAATTCAGCTTATGAGTTTCAACTGCTAAGTTGTATAATATAAATTTGTTACAATTGCAATTATAAAATTACAGAATGCTATCATTATAAAATTACAATTAAAAATGTTTAATTTCAAATAGTTTTCAAAGAACATATACTAAATATATTCACAATATATAATATGTATAGCACTGATATTGTGATTAAATAATCATAGCATAAAAATTAAATGAATGCGGTATTACCATATAATTCAACATGTAAGAGTTAATTGCTGATTTTATATATCTTTCTAATTAAATATTGTAGTTAAAGAAAAATATTTTAGTTTTATGTTTTATGAATCACACACAACTATTCTGATATTGTTTTCCTGGTAGCTCTATGTACCTCAACTTGTAATTTTAAAATTAATATGTAATTATGTATATATGAATATTATATATCTTTTTTACACTTAATTTTACATACTTTTTGTATAATTTCCAATTATACATTCTTTCGATTCCCTTCAAATGTTTTTTTAAGCAATTTTCAATTATTTCATTAATTTTATTGAATGCACTAATAAATAAAAATTTATTTATTTGGCAACACTATTCCTTAAATATAGAATTTCTATGTTTATGTTTAGAATTTCTTACCTATATTTTTCTCTATCTTATTTATTTTTTATGTTTCTATTTTGATATTTCACTTTAAATTGGATTTAAATAAATAATTAAATTTTTTTATATATAATTAATTACACACATCTGGCCATACTCGATATATAACAATAATACACATCAAAATAAATATATAAATACGTCATAATACAAATATACATATGTATTTATATTGTATATAAACAATAAATTGTCTGCTAAAAATTTTATAAAAAAATAAAAAAAAGGAAACTATTGAAAAAGTTGAATTAATTGATCCTGGCTCAAAACATCCTAAATTAACACAAGTTTCTAAATTCACTGCTCTACCAGCAATTCCTGATAATGGACCATTAAAATTAGAAAAACCACGAAAGTTTTCATTTCCTAAAACACCAAAAGATTACGAACGTCCTAAATTAGAAAAATATACAAAACCTGAATTTGAAAAACCGGATAAAATTAAGGTAAGAGATGATAGAAAATTTTCGTAAAAATTATAAATTTATTTTAGTTTTGTTTTAAAATGCCAAAATTAAATAAGCAAAGGGGACTTGGTATATCAAAATACACATCTAAATTTTAGTTTAATTATTCAGCAAAACAATTCGAATTGTTAATAGTAAGCTAACTTTATGTAGGATTTGCATTTGAGGACACCATTCGTCCTATAATACAATTTATCTTAGTACAAAATTTCAATATTATACAATTATGAATATTTTATACACGTTACATGTTTTTTTTTTTGTTTTTTTGGCATTTGTCAGTATATTAGTATATGGAAAATGTTAAATTTTTTTTCTGTCTTCATCCCATGAATAATATCTATTAACTGAGTGGGTTTATTTTTCTGGGTTTTACTGCAGCCGTGCAATTTAATAGAATCATTTAGTCTTCCAATGTCTCAATCAAGCCTCCTATGTGAGGCAGGAGTCACTGTAATAGCACGGGTTCCGACGCCAAATATGTAAGAGAACTGCTTCTTTATGTGTCAATTGTTTCCATATTAGGAAAAAACTTTCTTAACTGACAAAACTTTTTTGCCGAAAGGTTACAAAGTCTAAAGTTAAGAAGTTTTTGTCTGTGATCACTCACAAAGCTTTAAGTTGGAAAATATTGGTAAAAATATTTCAAAATTACGAACGGGAAGTGCGGAGAAATGGGAAAGAGAGAGAAAAATAGTATATGTATATGTGTTTTAATTAAAATATATACAAATATATGAAATATATTTCACTTATGTATGAATGAAAATTACCAAAAAAAAAAGAAAAGAAAACAAGAAAAACATCTTTTGTTTCTTTTGTGATAGTTGTGAAATATTTTGACATTGTATTTGGGTCTAATACAAAGTGTATATTGAATAACCCTATATATAAATAATATTTATAATAGCAGACGGGTTATTTTGTTTTATTCGCTCCTAAAACACAACAAAAAAAACCGAAAATATTAAATTATATTTTAAATAATTTGTTTGGCACCTCTTTTTAAAATAAATAAAACACATGTATTATATAGTTTGGTATAATAAATTGTTATTCAAATAAAAATATTAAAGTTATTTATAAAAATTATAAAATCCAATAAATTCCTATTTTTTCTTACGTTTTTGTTCAAATTTCATAATATAAATAAGAAATATGTGTATGTGTTTAGAAAAAATTCAAATTCTTAAAATTTCTTTTTATAAATAAGTATTTTTTTGTAAATTTGCATAAATGCTACTTTGCTACTGCAAAAAAATACTAATGTGTATGTCAGGTTTTATATTATAAAAGAATTTTTAAAATCTTTATGGTTTAAATATTTTAGTATTTGCGTGCTACTTATTTTTTTTTTTTGCTGCCATGTTACTTTTTCTAAATTTATGTTATTTTAATTTTTCGTGATAGCCCTGAGTATACGCAAACTACATACATATATCTGTTATATTAGTTATGATTTACTAATTATTTATATAAAATAGATCTTGAATTCTTGTGGTCTTATGGAACTATGCATGTATCACAATGCCTTAAAGAATTTTGTACAAGAAAATCTGATGGAATTTTTTTTTGCTCCCCACATTAAAATATAATAAATTAATTTAGTTTTTATTACCGACTGGGATGTTAAAACAATTAAACTAATGAACTGGTGGCCGATTTTATATTTACCATATCTACTGACCGGATTGATGGAATTTCTTGAAATTTGATGTTTAAATTCTGGTTGTTACCGAAACTAAGAGAAGAACTTTTCAGAGAATTTGGGTGGTACAAAGCGAAATTCTACTAATTTACATTGTGGTGGGTCCTGACATTGAACCCCCACTCCATCCAATGCTCTGACTTTTAGTAACGTACAGTAAAAGAAAAATTATTTCATGAATTGTGTAATATTGCTTAATATCCAAATTGTACTTAATTTGTACTAAATTTTTGATTTCACTAATAATGTAAGTTGAAGCTTTAATAAATCAAAATATAAATTTTAAAAATAAGTTGAAGCTTTCCTTGGACTTGTACCTATTTCGAATTTTTTAAATTTAATTTAAATTCGTTTAAGTGGGCAATTCAAAATAAAATTTTTGTTTTTTTTTGCTCAGTATATATTATGAATAATTAAAAATTATGAATTAATAAAAGTGAAAAATCTTAAATTACTTTTGGCAAAAACAATAAATGGAAGAATGAAATTTTTAATTTAATTAAAAATCAAATGATAAATTTTTTTTTTAATTACTAGTTTTTTTTGCATATATTTTTAGTTTTCACCTTATTTTTTGTTATTTGTTTTCTTTTTTTTTTTATTTTTTATTTTATATTGTAGGAGTAGAAAAGCAAAATATTTGAGATCAAAGAAATATTTTAAAAAAAATATTTTAAAAATTTTTGGGTAAAAATTTTTGTTTTCTTTTTATGTAGTAAAATAAATTTGACAAGAACTCTTCAACTTTTTTTTTTTTTTTGACATGTCTTGACACATAAGGGCACATCGTCACTAACGTGATTTCTGTTCGTACTTCTTTCTTTTTTCTCTCTTGTTGTTTCAAAAAAAATGTTTTTTAATTTTCATTAATTTTTCCATTCAAACCGAAAAAAAAATTAATAAACCCAAGGTCTACAAATAAAAATCATCCTGTTTGCTTTTTTACTTGGTTTATTTAGCAATATGCACACAGAATAAATATTGTTAAAAATGTTCTCTATTCTGTAAATGTTAACTTATATATCAATTTAAATTATGAACATATATTTAATAACATGCATTAATTTAAACAATGCAATTTGGATATTGAAAATTGAGAAAGAATAAGAAATGGCGGGGGGGGGGGGGGCTAATTATTCACAAATTGGCTTTTAGTAAAATATACTTATAATATAGCAAATTAAATTTAAAAAATAAATTAAATAAATTGAAATTAAAAAATAAAAAACAAATAGTAAATTTTCTCAATTATATTCAGCATGCAAAAATAAAAAAAATAAAATTATTTAAATTTTAAGTAAAAAATGCGTACGTTTAACTCTGCCTGCATTTTGTTTAGAACATGCTCATGATTAAGCTCTTGACTTCGTTTTTGAGTAAATATACAGCAGTACCGTGCCACCGCGCGTTGATTTATTACTGCAATTTTTTTGAATAAGTATCTACACAATGTTAGGTTACAATATTGTACACATATTAATATTTAATACAAATACACACTCTTTTAATATACGAATTCAGAGAAATTTTAATTTTTTTTATTATAAGATCAAATAATTCAGCAACTCAGAGCAATTATCGCATTTTTTTTTATTATTGCATTTTTTTTTGTTTTTTTTTTATTGCAAGATCAACAATTAAATTAAAATTTTTTTCAAGTTAACAACAGAAAAAAAAAAACTAAAAAAAAAATTAATGAAATATTAAATAAAAAAATATTTAAAATTAAAAAAAATCAACACAAACAAAAAAATTAATCGAGGTAATAATGAAAGTGATAATGATGATGAGAGATGATGACGACGATGGTTGACTACAACTGTTGTTGTTGTTGTTATGGTTCTTGCTGTTGATGGCCATGAAAAATAAGTTTTCCTTTTTTTTTATTTTTCATACATTAATCTTAATGTTATTTATAATATTAAATAACTTTGTTGAATGTTATAAATTTTTCTGTGTTTTTTTTCTTTATATTGTTTATTTTCATTTATTTATTTTTTTTAAGTATATAAAACAATATTAAAGAAGCTCTAAATTAAGATTTTTATTTTAAAATAAAACATATGTGTATTATTTTTAGTTTATAATATATACATATTTAATTTTAATTTGATATTTATATACTAAGAAAAAGCAAAAAAAAATAAGAAATATTATTAATATAGAATAGCGCACGTGAGAATTCATAAAAACATTTTAACAAAAAAAAAATTTTTTTTCTCTGTGTAATAACAAATTATATATTTTTATTTAAATATAATAATAATAGTATACATATATATATATATATATATATATATGTATTAAAAATGATATTTGAAATAAAAATAAATCATTCTAAATACAAGAAATAACAGCAAAAAAAAAGATAAAAATTAAAAGAATAGAGAAAAAATTCAAGTTTTTCAAAGGCAACAACAAAACAACAAAAAAAGAACACAGAGAAAAAAAGACACCATATTAAATTATATAAAAAAATTAAAAATTAAAAAATAAAAATGTTAACTAAGAAAATAATCATGTTCTCAGTATTCATCAAGATTTTTCGCAGCAGCTACAAACGAATATTCGGAATTTAAATAATTTTTACATAATAAAACCAATAAAATTAAATAAAAAAAAAACACAGAAAAAAATATCAAAAAATAATATTGTTTTTTCTTGTTTTTCCATTGCTAAATTAGAAAAAAATGTTAAAAATTTTTTTTAAATTATATAAAAAATTATTTAATAATTTTTTTTTACTTAATTTAAACTTTTTAATTTTTTAATTATTTTTTAGTATTTTAAAATATTGATTAATGAAAAATACTAAAGAAGTGGGGGGAGAAATTTAATTAAAAACTTAAAAAATTAAATTAAGAAATAGCAAATCGCATACTACAACAAACACACGAAAGCAATAAGAACGCACAAAAAAACAAAAATCGACAATTACATTAAAAATTACATGCCCAAATTAAAAAAAAAATTAAATTTTAACATAATAACGATTTTGTTTTTTATTATTTTTATTTATTTTTTTCCTTTCGATTATTGAATTTAATGCATGCCCAATATTAATTATCTTGTTTTTTTGATATTCATAATTTTAAAATTACATTAATACGGTTATTAATATACAATTCGGCCTATGATTTATAGTTGCTGAATTGTATACCAATAGAGTTTAACTGCAAAATTGCAGTAATACAATGTAAATAAACAATTTAGCAATTACAATCCATAAGCTGAATTGCATTTCAATACAATATTCCGGTACTATTGAAATCGAGTATAGTACTAGTACTGTGATTTTGAATCTCACTGTGACTTATTGTATATTATGACAGTATGTGTCGCATAGTTGTATAGTAGTATATACAAAGAAAAAGAAAACAATAAAAAAAACAATAATAACAATTGAAATATACACGTTTTGAAAATTCATATAATATTATTTAACATAATTGTCAAAAAAAAGGCAAAAAAATGTCGGGGGTGTGACAATGGGATCAAAATAAAAATAAATAATGATTTTTTTTAATTACTATTTTATTTTTAATTTTTTTCAAAAATATTTTTCGTTTTTCTTTTTTTAAATGGGTTTGATATAAAAAAAATGCATGCAATGCACATATTTACGCAAATGATGAGACCCCCTCCCAACGTAAAAAGGGAAATTATTTTTTAATAATTATTTGTTTCCGAATCGTTTATCATATAATCCGAATTGAATTGTTTTCAAATGTTTATTATATGAAACTCGGGTTTTCCCGTTATATAAAATAGTTATATAATTATAAAATTTTTTTTCTAATATACTTTTTTGTTAATACTGTTGTACTAATTAGTTGTTCTACTTTATTTTGTTAATGAAAAATAAAACCTAATTTAGAGCAAGTAAAAAAGTCAAAACCGGCTTACTAAATATTTAAGAAGAAAATAAAAAAAATTAAGAAAAAAAAATACGAAAAAAATGACATAATTAAAAAGAAAAAAATAATATAATTGAATCATTCCACGAAAACTTATAAAAAAAACAACATCAAATAAACTTAAAAAAAAATGGCTTCAAAAGTTACAATAACACGACCGGTAAGACTTTGTATATTTATTTCTTTTGTGCAATAAGAAGATTAAAATGTTTCATAGAAAAAACGGGAAATTTCGGAATATCTAGATTAGAGACCAAGACTTCGAAATTGCAGCAACACAATATTAACACAAAAATTAGATTAGAATTTGTAATCGCTGAATTGTGTGTATTAATATCGAAAATACTACAACTAATAATACTATAATTTCGAAAAGACCCGATACATTAACTTCTCAATTTCTTTAATGTGTAATTTTAAAATGAAGCCTAACCAATTGCTAAATACGGTTTAAATTATAATTTTACAAAGCAAATTTCTGAAAAACCAAAATGAAAATAACTTTATATAGAGACAGTTTTAGTTTAAATAAAAAAAATAGTGCCTAAATTTTAGTTATTTTAATAAGTTTATGTTTTATTATACGTTGTCAATGAGGTCATTTACAATTAATTAAAATGTGAAATAAATAAAAAAAAAAACAAGATAAAATTTAAGGCAATTAAAATGTCAGCATATCATTGTTAAAATAAATTGCAAACCTAATTATTTATGTAAAATTTACAAAATTAAAAATTTTAATACAATTTCACTAATTATTTATTTTAGTTACAATGTTCGCATTTTTTTTCTATTTCATTTTAAATTTAAAATACAATAATTTTATAATTAAAATAATTATACTCGTATACATATGATAATTGTTGCTTTTATTTTAAACTTGAAGTCATCTAAATTATGTTAAACACCTCCTTGCATTGGGAAATAAAAATAAAATCGTATCGTCTTTGCTTAAAATTTTTGCAATTATTTGGTCATCCTATTCCTTACAATGATTACACTTCTTTAACGGTTTGTGACGAGTACCATTACTTCAAATTTACAACAATACTGTAAAATTTAGCATTTAAAAACTTAAACTTTAAACTCTGGATTTCTTACATTCAAATACTACTAATAATGCATAACTTTATAGTTTCACGGTAATTTGCATAGCAAGGCTTTTAATTTAATATGAAATTTTGAAGTTTGCTATTCAGAAATTTTCCGTGTGCATAAATGAATGAGTCAATCAACCGTTTCTTTTAAATATATAATTAATTTTTTAATTATTTTTTATATATGTGTGTACATTGTGCAATAATTTTCTTTTATGTTACAATTTATCATCGAATTTAAATAATAGAAAACAAAAAAAAATTAATTATTATTATTTTAGCCACTTATATTAATACTTATGTTTTAATGTGTGTGAAGAATATAGAATTAATGTATTTATAATGCACATTATAATTATAAGAGAAAATTCAAATTCTTTTGATGACTACAATATTCTCATGATAACTAAATTTGAGTTTTGCTATTGTCAGAGTACAATTATTTGAATTGTATTTATGGTGTAAGAATGAACTCCGACTTCAAAATTACAGTAAAACGGTATAGATACACAATTCACCTTATGATTTGTTGAATTGTGTAATACTACAGAATTAATGCAATTTTGAAGTAATGGAATATCTCTTTAGATCTATGGTCATATTTATGAGGCTTTTTTTAAATAATTTGGTATGAGAATAGTAATTTTTCCATAATTCTGTTCATACTCGTAGTATATTACTATTAGGTACGCTGTATCCAAAACATAAAAACAAACAAAAAAACTTTAATACTATGACAAAATTTTTATAATTTATTAATTTACTATGAATTATATTAATATAATATAACACTTGAGTTTCATACAATGTGTTGTGGTATATATTGTATTTAAATTTTACTCATAAATTTTTGGTGATGAGTTGCTGATCATTTCTGCGCTAAGCTAAATTTACGTACAAACGTACCACTTGCAATATGAAGGAACTTAAAGAAAACAATTTTAAAACAAAAAATTAATATACAAATATAAATAAAAATATATATTAACATAATTCCTTTCCATTTTTTGTTATTAATAATTTTGTTGTTTTATTTAAAAATTCGTATAGGAGGATAAACCAAAGATACCAGTTATTAAAGGCCCACCAATATTGGAAACACCTAAAATTGAAGTTATTAGAGAACGTAAACCATCACTGGAACCTGGATCAGGACCACCGTCACGTCGAGGCTCATTAATACCACCAGCTGATACTGGAAGAAGACCAAGTTTAATAATCAATGACGAGGTATGTTCAAATTATTTTATCATTGAATTTTATTTTTTTTATTTATTCATACACCATATATTTAATTATAATTTAAGAAACATAAAAAGATTATAAATCAAATTTCAAAAGTAATAAAAATTCAATTATATTATTCTTAATTAGCTTTTAAGAAAAATATTCATTTGCTTTATTAGAGTATTAAAAGAACAGAAAAAATTTATATTAGGCTATATTTTTTTTTTTTTAATTAGATTTAAGGAAAAAACTTAATTAGCTATAAGGAAAATAAAAAACAAAAATATTACTTAAATGTGTTATATATTAAAAATAAAATTGTGTAAATAGAAGAACAAATTTACGTTAAGGTCAATTAGCGTTATAAGGTTATGAATCATATAGTAAAAATTTAGGTTTATTATTATATGAATAAAATAAATTTATTAGATTTTAAATAGAATTTTAAAGCTTTAAACAGTATAGGTAATGATTGACAGTGGAATGAAAATTTAGAAGCAGTAGCAGATGCAGCAAAGAAAGAGGAAACAACAAAACAAAATGTTTTTTTTTAAATAGTTTCACATAGTATTCATACATTTATCCAGATAATACAAAAAAAAGTTATACTGTATTATTATACATATTTCAGCAATTAATTTTCATAAGCTGAATAATAATACAATATGACTGCATATTTATTATTTAATATTTAGTCATTTAATTTTATTTTATAATTTACAATTTTTTTTTATATTTCGTAGATTTAATAGTCATTTTTTGAATTAATTCCATACAAACTTTTTTTTTATTAAAATTAAAATTAATTTAAATTTTATTTAAATATTCAATCAATGTAAATATAATAATTATTATTTACAAAGTATTTAATATACATATACGAATATATATATATATATATATATATATATATATATATATATATATATATATATATATATATATATACATATATATCAAATGTGTTTGATATTCAATTTGAATTTTAAATATTTATGTACCTTAAAAACTGTTTAAAATTACAGAATAACAAAGGGCGTCTCTAAAAATGCAAATTTAATATCAAGTTGTATTATTCAGTAATTAAAACAATTACGACTGAATATGCCAAGTAGATGTTAGGTGTAAATTTTGGTAGACGTTCATATTTACAATTTGAATATCAATCATAAGCTATATATATTTTTATTATATTTACACTAAATATTTTGTAAAAATATTATATATTTATTGCAATTAATTCAAAATTACATAGTACAAAGTAAACAATTACATTATACTGTTGATATTAACATAATAATAAATTAACACACTATATAAATGTATACATGTATGTGATATGGAAGTTAAAAATGTAAATTGACAAAAACATGATTTCAAAAATTGCAGCAATACTTAATATTGATATACAATTCAGCGATTGCAAGTCATTAACTGAATTGTGTATTAATTATTGTATTATAGTGTAATTTTGAAATCATGTGATAATTTAATAATTTAATATAATTTTCATTGTTGAATAAACAATATAGTACATTAATTACTAATTTATATTTTTTTTGTATTATTTAAATTATATACTAAAACTAGTAAAATTTCAGTTGCTGCAAAATTATAATAAAACAAAATGTTCATACACAATTCAGTTTTTAATTTTTAATTGTTGAATTGTGTAGTAATGTAAAGTTTTACTATAATTTCGAAGTGATGATGAAATTAGAATTTTATATTTATGCATTTATAGATAATATATAATTCATAATATAGAAAATATATATATTATATATTTATTTATGTTTTGTTAAAGATAAATAGTAATCGACAATTACATTAAGCAAAAATAACCAAAGAATTATATATTTTTTAATTTTAAAATTGAATCACCTCATTCATATGTATATATCCATAAAGCATACATCATAATATTCATAATAAAAGTTAATTATATAAATTGGTTAATCATTTTTAAATGGGATTACGTATATCCTTTCTAATTTTTATCCCGTCTTATCGTCATTTTTTTTGTTGACCTCTGTTTATATTAATGTTTTATGTGAATTTGTGAACAATTTGATTGAAATGAAGGATAGGTTAGAGGAATAACATTTTTTCATTATTTTTTAATTATTCATTTTAAATTTCCTTATATCTATGTAGTTTATAGTTTAATGTCGAAATCGAAATGTAATGAAATAGAACGAATGTGCAATAAAAATTAAAATTATCTTCAAAAATTGTAATAATACTATATTAGAATTTATAATTATGAATGCTTATGATTTCTATGATGAATTTTGTATTAATTACTGTACAACTGCAATTTCGAAGACAAGGATATATAATTAATATTATATATCCTTGTTAAAGGATATATAATATTAATTATATAATTAATATTATTTAACGATATTAGAAACTCATCTACCGTTCAATTGCATTTCGATTTAACAGGATAAACTACATTTATATAATTTGTCAGAAATTTAAATTAGGAAATTTTTAAATATAAGAATACAATTTATATTAAGTTATAATTAATTTTTTTCATTTTTCCCGTTTTGTCTTTTTTTTTTTATTTTTTCATTTTTCCCCTTTGTCAAATTTGAATATACTCGTTAAACACGTACACACACATATTTATTTGTGCATCAAATATACAAATAATATAAAAATTTGGCCATCGTTAAACATGAATTTTGAATAATAAAATTTGTTATTTAAAAAACAAACACAATGAAAAATCATATGTAAATTTCGAAATGAACAAAAAAAAAATATTAAAATTATATATATTCATGCAAATGTGTATATACATGTATGTGCATAAAACATATGTGTATCTATAAACAATTTATTATTTTGATATTTTCTTTTTGTTTTTATTGCGCAATCTAAAAATGCAGACTAAACGTAAACTTCGTCCTGGTGAAGTACCTGATGATAAAAAGGTAAAAAAAAAACAAGAAAATACAGAAAAAAAAGTTCGCTACTCTATATCTATTCCTCTATCTTTTTTTATCTATTAAACTACATTTTCTCTCTTTATTATTTATTTTATGAATATACAATTTCTCTCATTTTTCTTTTATTTTTTCAATATACTACAAATAATTTATTTATTCTTATATATACTTTGATATTAATATAACTTTATTCATTTATAAAATAAAAGTAAAAAAATCACTGTTAAATTAAATTATTTTGATTTTTTTTCTTACTACGCGCCGCCACTGTCGCTGTACTATTTTTTTTAAATATTTTCTCTTACTCTGGTATTACACACAAACACACACAAAACCCACTATATGTATAATAATCTATATAAATTATCTGTGTTTCATTATATTATCTTTTTACTTTTGACTTTGTTATATACACAAAAATCTTTATATATTTCTTTTTATATTTCAAGACTTTTCTCTTTCTTTGTTTCCAATTTTTCAACAATTATTGTTACTTTCTTCTTTTTCCTTTGCCTTGGGCTTCGAATTCATATTTATAGTCCTTATAAATGAAACTTTGACTTCTAAATCGCAGTAATTTGGTATTAGTTCTGAATTCAGTTCAAGAATTATAATTGCTCAATTGTGTAAGAATACTTTAATATTGCATTTTTGAAGTCACAGGTTGATTTAATGCGGATTTAACTTATTTAGCAAGACACTTTTAATTGCTGTATAAGTTACTTGAAAAAAAAGTAGACAAAACAATATTTTCTAATATAAAAAATGAATTAGAAAATGTTTAAATGCAAGAAAGCACTATAAATATGAATTAATATGTTTTCTTCTACTTTTAATGTATTACTCTTCTATTTTGCATTATTTTCTTGTATAAAATTAAAGCCATTAGCCGAGTTACTTAAATCATATAACGCCAACTTATAGCCAAAAGCCAAGCTAGTAAACCGAAATTGCAATCAACGCATATGAATTGAGAAAAAAATTTATAAATATTAATATTTATAATAATTGCGTATTATATACCCTAACTTCAAAAAATTATGCAGCCGTTGTATTCAATTCAGCTTATAATTTGTTATTGCTGAATTGGGTAGAAATACGTACAAGATTGATGCAATTTTTAAAGTAATGGATATTTTGATTTTCTTGATTTATGTGTAAATTGTAAATATTTTTTTTCTTTTTAAATATGCATCAAATATTACACCTATAATATATATACAGAAGAAAATCATAAGTAAAAAAACAAATATCTTTCATCAAAAATTATAGTGTTATATAAAATTTTTTAAATATAAAGAAAGTTATAGTTATATAAATTTTAAATATCTAAAATTCAAATTTTGTAGTACAATATTGTCATATAATTCAGCAATTATTATGTCTATAAGTGAATTACCTATTAATATTGTTCTATATGACAATATTAATGTGAAATTCAGCAATCAGTAATTAACTACAACAAAAACGAACAAGCACTGCGATTTTCTATGATTTCATAATTAATTTTATTAGTAAATTAATATTGTAATGCAATATTTCTTTAAAAAATATTTCAGAATATTGTATAAATTAATGTTTTCATGTACTTCCAATTTATTACGTATATAAACAATAATTAAAATTCGATATTTAATATAAAATAAATGTCTGGTTTCCATTAAGTCAATTCAAATAACTATATATACTACATCTACATATTATGTATGTATGTATTTATAGAAAACATTTATATACTAATTTAATACTAAATTTTGTAATTATACTATTTGAATGTGTGAATCATCAATATAACCTGCATTCAATTATAAATATGCATTTAAATAAATGGAAATCTAGTTATAACCAAATTATTGTAATGATTATATGGTGATGATGATTCATTTATTATACAGGGTGTTTCGTATAAGGTGGCAAATAATTTCAGGAATTATTCTTTGATTAATTTCCAGCAAAAATTGCATGTACAAGCTGTTGAAAAAAAGGTACTGGATTTTTCCTGCTTATAAATAAATGCTAATAACTTCGAAATCATGCGACATGAAGTTGTCATCGAGGACTGGTTTCACACGCGTTTGATTACTTCTTATTTTCGGTCTTACAATCAATTAGATCTGAACCATAATTTTCGAGATAAAGTTCGCCAAAGTCAGAATTTTTGATTTTTTTCTTTTAATTTTATCCCTGAAATTGTTTGCCACCTTATGCAAACATCCTATATAGGTGATTTTAATGCACATATTTATATATGTATGTACATATAAATTTATTTTAATTATAGTATTGAAATTTTATTATATGACAAATATTTCTATTTACATACACAATAATTCCCAGTGCATTCTCTGTTTCTCCCAATGTAGTATATTATTATTACAGCAATAGTATTGGAAAATGTTTTTAAAATTATTAATTGTTTTTATTTAAAAATAATTCAATTATACAACATTCATTTCAACAACATTAAATTTATTTTTATAAATTTACATATATTATATACACATACATATTTTTATGTATACAGTAAAAATAATTTTCTACATTTTTTAAAACATTTTTTTCTGTGTAAAATTTTTGTATATTTTAATTGTCATTCTATTAAATTTATGTTTCTTTTTTTTTCTCCGTGAATGGGAGGGATACATTGTTAATACAGTTTTATATACGTAATATATTATGTAAAATTTTTAAATATATTTACAATTCATAAAGTACATGTAATTAAGCAAAGATTTTTGAAATGCCAAAAAGCAAGGAAGGCAACTGTATAATATAAAAATTAGCTGCTGTTTTTATTATTAGTAATTATAATATACATATATAAAATATTTAAATATTTTATATATGTATATTATAATTACTCCCTGTATTTTTTGGTTTTAATTGTATGTATATAAGTAAACCACATCGCATCAATTAGAATCTTGTTATTTTCCTTCTTGAGTTTATTATACATAGCTCATAATTATTAAATTAAGAAAAAAAAACAATATACCTAAATCCAAAATTGCAGTAACACATACTGTAATTAAAATAAAATTCAGATTATGCATTATAATTGCTCAATTGTATGCCAATATTACTATTACATCTATTTTGAACATAAAGTTGAAGTGATAGAGGAGATGCGTAGCTTTCGCAATACATTTGCAAATATTTGCGTTCATCCATTTTTTGTTATGCTTATTTTATTATTTTATTTTTTATTTATTTACTAAAAATTAAAGTTTTAAATACATTACTATTTTTATATTTGTATATATATATATCTATATTGTTAAAAAAAGTTGTGTCTATTGTATAATAATGTGCTTTTTTAAAAAGAGTATGCAATTCTATCTTTTAATATATTTATATAATATAATTTATTGATTTATATAAACTAAATGAAAAATAATTTAAAATATAATAATGCTACTAAACAAAAGAATGGTTATCATATCTATGATTTCAAAATTGCAATACTGCTATATTGTTAGACAATCCAGCAATAAAAGTTTATATGCTGAATCGCCTATTAGTAAGATTTTACTGCAATTTTAAAATCAGGAATATCAATATTATTAAAAAAAATATTCGCTTTTTAATTTTTTTTTAATTTTATTTGGAATTGAATAAAATGCTGACTAATAATATATTTATTCTATTAATAATAATTAGAATATTAAATAACATTATTATTAATAATAATGATAATAATAAAAATAATGATTAACGTATAATAAGTCAATCATATTCTAAATCAAAATCTCCGAATTATTCAGCAATTATGTCCTCATATTTTGCTAAATTTTAATTTAATTTTGATTTAATTTGACGGGAATAATTTTATCATGAAGATAATTTATTGTTCCTTACATCTCTCGGTTGGAATACGGTATTCAAAGAATATGGTGGTGTTTTATAATAATAATTTTTAATTTTATTTATTTTAAAATTGTAAAAATTCACGAAATAAATTCTCTTAAACAAAAAAAAAGCAAAAACAAAAAGAAGCAATGTAATAATTAAAATAATACTTTATAATAAAAATAACCTAAAATATATAAATAAAAAAACAATCTTGAAAATTTACAGTAATACTATTATTAATAACACACAATTCAGCAATGAGAGCTTATAAGCTGAATTGTGTATTTTCTACACAAATTACAATATTATTGTACAATATTACTGCAGGATTTTTATAACAATATATATTATGAAGAACATGTGGATATAAGCTCCTTTTAATAATAATGATAATAATAATAATGATAATAATAATAAAAATAATAATAATAATAATAATAATAATAATAATAATAATAATAATAATAATAATAATAATAATAATAAAAGAAATGTTATAATTTAAGCCCTTAAAAATTATTAAATTTTTGAAATAAAAGTACGAAAATCAAAATGATTAAACATAAATTAATTTGTTTAAAAAAAAAGAATTAGATTATTGTATTTCATTCACAAGGAAATTATTTAAACATTAAATTTAAACATTTGTGGTACTTCTTATATAACGTCCCATAAATTATATTATATTATTTGGTATATTATTATAGACCTTAATATTATTATAGACCTTAACCTGACCTTAAAATTGCATTTATACTCGTAGTAATATAAAATTCAGCTTATGCAATACAGTATTAATGTAAGTTTAATGTCAAAAAAATATTGAACAAATTCTATAGTTTATGTTTAAAATATAATAAATTGTTTTTTAAATTTTTAATTTAACTCAAAATAATTTTAAGTCCAAATTAGTATGTAGTTTTACCTAAATTGTTTTAGAATTCGAATATTATGGTTGAGTTATAAAAAAAAATATGTATAGAAACAATTGCAATTCAACAGTTTCACTCATAAACGCATAATAGCATTCCTTTGATTTAAAATGTAATTTTAAATGTATACATATGTACATGTATGTATATAAATACATATATAATATATATTTTTTGCATTTATTTTTAATTTTACAAAAA